AAGGATAGATATTGAGATATTGCAAGTCTTAAAAGACAGTGAGGGTAGATATATTTTTATAGACTGTAAGTTTCAAGGTGTTAGGTTGATTTTAGGCAATGTGTATTTTCCAACAAGAAATTTTGAGAGTGATCAATTGCAATTTCTTCGAAAATTACGCAATAATCTGGCTAAGTTAAATAAAGATAACTACCCGGTTATAATAGGTGGTGATTTTAACATGATTAGGGACATTGAATTTGATTATAACGGGAAATCTTTAAACAGGATTTCGAAAAGATTTAATCGAGAATTTGAAAAATTCATGGAAGATTTGCAGCTTTTGGATATTTGGAGATGTAGGCATTCTTTAAAAAGGCAATTCACTTATATGCAAAACAATCCCTTTATGCAAAGTAGACTAGATTACTGGATAATATCAGAATGTCTAGAGGAAATGGTTATGAAGTGCGATATAATTCCATCTGTTGCCCCTGATCATCATTCAATATTTTTACGTTTATTTGACAAAACAGTCAATAAAACGAATGGAAGAAAAGGGTCATATTGGAAATTCAATAATAGTTTATGTGAAAATGAAGATTATGTTAGAGAGTTAAAAAAGAAAATTTGTCAATTAAAAAACGAACTGCAAACTAAAATAAAAGACAAAAGGTTGTTATGGGATTTTAAAAAAATGAAAATTCGGAGCTTTACACAAAAAATTTCAAAAAAATTGGCTGATCAAAGAAGAACAATAAGAACAGATTTAGAAAAAGAAATACAATGTTTAGAACAACAATTGACGGAAAGCACTAATGCAGATACTTTAGAAAAATTGGAAAATACAAAAAAGAAATTAGAGGAAGTTTATAGCTATGTAAATGAAGGAATTAGGATTCGATCACGAGCCTCGTGGTACGAAAGCGGAGAAAGGGATTCGCGTTATTTCAATCAATTAATGCAAAATAACAAAAGAAAGAGTACTATAAAAAAATTAAAACCTCAGATGGTGCTATTTGCTGCGATGAAAAAAGGGTAACTGAAGAAATCCGGAAGTTTTACAGCATGTTGTACAGTAAAGTAGAGTACGAGTGCTCGGATAATTGTTATAATAGTTTCTTTCAAGGTTTACCGAAATTGACTGAAAAATCTCGAGAATACTGTGAAGGATCTATAAGTAATAAAGAATGCCTAGAAATCTTAAAAGAATTAAAACAGAACAAATCACCTGGAAATGACGGTTTTTCTTCAGAATTTTATCGTTCCTTTTGGCCGGATATTGGAGATTTAGTTAAAGATGCCTTGAATGAAGCATATAGATTAGGAGAATTAGCATCGTCTCAAAAACAAGCTGTAATTACGTTAATCGCTAAAGATGGGAAAGATCCCTTTTCACTGAAAAATTATAGACCCATTTCCCTTCTTAATGTCGATTATAAAATCTTAACAAAAATTTTGGCTAAGCGAATCAAGAAAGTATTAAATGAGATCATTATGGGAGATCAGGTGGGCTACATGAAAGGGAGGAATATTGGTGAGGCCATTCGCATTATAGATGATATTATTTTTCATACATCCCGTTACAATTTATCTGGTTTTTTGTTAGCTGTAGACTTCGAAAAAGCTTTTGACTCAATTTCACATCAATTTCTTCAAAAAGTTCTGTCGTCATTTGGTTTCGGTCCGTCCTTTCAAAAGTGGGTTAAATTTTTATACATGAACACTCTAAGTTGTGTATTAAATGAAGGAGGGTCCACTGGTTATTTCAAAGTAGAAAGGGGAGTAAGACAGGGAGACCCTCTTTCTCCGTACCTCTTTATCTTGTGTATTGAAGTAATGGCACACAAATTACGAATAGATAAATTGGTGGACGGAATTAATTTTGGAGATAAGGAAACTAAACTGGTACTTTATGCGGATGATATGACAATTTTTGTTCGCAATAAAAAAAATCAATTAATAGGTTAAAAGTATTATTTGCAGATTTCGAAAAAATTTCTGGACTGAAAATAAACAACGACAAGACTAAAATATTAAGGTTAGGTTCATGTCAACGTTTAGATTGTGATTTTGCTTTTGGCGAAATAGTTGACTTTCTTAAGGTTTTAGGGATTTTCTTTTCCCTCGATGAACACAAGAAAGAAGATCTAAATTATAAAGAAATCTTAAGTAAAATAAAAACACTTTTAAATTTTTGGAAGCAAAGGGATTTAACACTTATGGGTAAGATTCAACTATTGAAAGTGCACATTTATTCTAAAGTTCTTTATCGGGCGTCACTTACTCCTGTTCCAAAATGGGTTTATGATTCACTGGATGAATTAACTTTTGATTTCATATGGAAAGGAAAAACAGATAAAATCAATAGAAACACCATGTTCTTAGACTATAACCAAGGGGGGTTAAAGATGTTAAATTTTTCTGCACAAGTTAAATCGCAGCGAATTATGTGGATTCAAAAACTTCTAAACAAAGATGAAGACATGAAATGGAAACAATATTTTAACTTTGTCACTGAACACGTGGGTGGAGATTTGATATTTTCATGTGACTATATACCAAGTTTATTAAAAGTGACAGCTCCACAATTTTATATGGATTTATTAGAAGATTGGGTGAATACGAGACATATAAGGAGTATAGACATTGGTGATGTGGTAATTTTTAATAATAAACTTATTCGATATAAAGGAAGTTGTATATACGATAAGAGGTTGTATGACAAAGGAATTTACAAATCAAAACATATTCTGGAAAACGATGGTAAACTAAAAAGTGACAGGCATTTTATCGATTTAGGTGTTGAAGTAGATGAAATTGAAAAGATCAAGCACTTTTATGCCTGTTTACCAGTTTGTTGGAAAAATAATTTTAGAAAGGGAGAAGAAAACAACTAATATAGCTGATTTAAAATCAAAACAAATTTATGTACAATTAATAAAGAAAGATGATTTTAAACCTTTGGTTTTTTGAGAGAATTGGAAGGAACTATGGTTTTTCCTGTAAGGAAATAGAAAACATATTTTTAAGACTAAGACAGTGTACACTTAACAGTCGATTAAGAGAGTTTCAGTTCAAACTTATACATAATATATTATATACAAACCATCACCTCTTCCGTTTTGGTCTTGTCTCGACTAACTTATGCTCATTTTGCGAAAAAGATGAAGAAACATATAAACATTTATTCTATACTTGTGAATTTGCACAATCAGTGTGGGAAATGTGCACGAGATTTTTAGACTTTGAAATACATAACTGTAGTTTGGAGGAAATTCTGTATGGGAAAGAGGAGAGAAATAAAGGAAAATATCAATTAATGAATCATGTTTTAATTCTTGTTAAATATCTGATTTATAGAAATAGAGAACTTAAAAAACCACCCTCTTTTAATGAAATAAAGAATAGTATAATAGGGGATAAAGTAGAAGAAAGGAAATTGGCAGCAATGAGGGGAACTCTCACTATTCATTTTTCTAAATGGGAAAACCTGAGTATTAGACAAACAATTGGAACCCAGAGCCAGTCGTCCACCGGTTAAGAGGGGGGGGGGGGGGATGGGGATAAGGGAGAGGTCGGGTAGGGTAGGGTTAACAAAAAGAGAAAACTTTTCTCTCAGGACAACAGTATAAAAAGAAGTATAAGTTGCTACATTGTTAAAACAAAAACAATTTGGATTATACAACTGCATATGTTTTCTTTGAAAATATGAATTTTTGTTTCAAATATGATGTATAGGAACTAACTATGTAAGTTTCTTTTGAAGCCGTTTGTAAGACAAACATTTATACTGATTTATAATGTCATCACATTTGCAGTGAGAGTTACATATGATGATTGTAATTTGTACTATGATTATAATTTGTTTCAAGAGAGAAAAGAATAAAAACTGACCATAAAAAAAAAAAAAATTAAAGATCACGTACGGTTTCCCAAACAGTTCTCAAAGCACGAGTAGGCCTACTTGGAGTTATCCGTAGGACATTTATGTACCTCAATACTGATACTATGCCGTTTTTGTTTAAAGGCCTCGTTAGGCCCATTTTAGATTACGGACAAGCCGCATGGTCCCCATACAAATTAGGAGAACAGAGGTGAAAATATAATTTGTGGACTTTTTCATTCGTTTTATGTTAGTGTGGAAGAGTATAATATCAACAATAAAAAAGTCCCCTGAAGAGGATGGCACATGTTGGAAAGCGTACAAAGACGTGCAACAAAGATTATTCCTGGCCTTAGAAATTTATCATATCAGGAGCGCTAATTGACCAAACTCAAACTACCAACTCGTTCACAGGCGTAGAAGGGGGGGGGGGGGGGACATGATCTATGTGTATAAGTATGCGAATGGCTTGTACATGCACTGTGCAAGAGATTCCCTTTAAGATGAGTACAGAAGATAGAACTCGAGGTCACTCTAGAAAACTTGAAAAGAAATATTCAAGGCTAGATGTATACTTTTTTAGCAATAGAGTCGTAGAACTGTGGGTCGGTAAACTTGATAGTCACTGGTCAAAGAATGCAAGCCTTTTGTTTAAGCCGGTCTAGGTGTTGTCTATTGTCTTATGTTATTACACAACTTAGCTCCTCCCTCCACAAGTAGCAGTAATCATGGAAGAATCCTGGATCGATGAACAGGCTTAGACCTACAACATCGTAGCACATTTTTTTTTTTTTTGGTCCTCGAAAATTAAAAAAATTCACCCCCCCTCCCCTTGAGCGCCAGGGCCCAACCCCCCCAAAAGGTAAAAATCACGTGTTTTTACATGATTTTTTTCCTCAAGGGGGGGGGGGGGGGCGGGCCCCCCGCCCCCCCCCCCCCCCCCCCCCCCCCCCCCCCCCCCCCCCCCCCCCCCCCCCCCCCCCCCCCCCCCCCCCCCCCCCCCCTGGATCCGCCACTGAATATGTTACCACCATCATCCTCATATTATAAGCAGTCAATATTTTGTATATTAGTACCACTGGTAAATTCAATTCTGCAGATGGCGCTGTTTAATCTTAGTTTTAGTTTGTTATGAATTTGAAACCCGAGACGCGAATGGTGAGGAGCTAGATCGAGCCACTCTAGGTCTAGAGTCTTTAATCTGTAAAACTCAATAATTATCAGGTTCGTTTGACGGTTTTGAATTTCAACCCCATTTCGTAAATATACCTGATTGCAATTATATTAATGAATATGTTATGATTACTACCCGCCGCAGACCTAGGCGTAGGATTGATTTGTGGATGTTTTTTACGGTCCCATACGTTAAGATTTGTGTATCCCGATCCCCTCAGTTTCTATCATCTATGGCGCTGGCTTCTAAGTTCTAGCTTCTCCCCTCTCCCACTCCTCCTCCACCATCATGTCCACGTCCTCCTCATTCACGACCTCCTCCTCTTCCTCTTCCTTCTCCTCTAGCTTTGCCCTCCTTATTCTTCTTGAAATTTGTATCTTCATTAGGTCTATATATTCAGTTTCAGCTTTAAAATATTTAAAGACTTTATAAAGTTCTTGTTCTTTTTTTAAATAGTTTTATTTTGTTTTAGACCTCAGGCTCATGCATTGTAGGAGTGTTAAATTCCAGGACCACAACATCAGATGATCTTCTTCTAATCAAGTTCTTGTTATATTCTCTTTCTTCCAGCCTTCTATTTGACTTCCATCATTTCCATGACTTATTCTTCCTTGTCTTTTATGTCTCATTCTTTGCCTTTTTTCCTTTCTCTTTTCCAATCTCAGTTTCTTGTTATCAATTGTTAACCATCTTGAATACCTTGAATACCAAAGCTTCTGGAAGAAAGCCGTCTCCAGCTGCCAAGCTTCCAGGTCTAACTTCAAGGGGGGGGGGGGGGGGATGTCCCAGCTTCCGGGTCTTGCACCATAGTCATTTTACATCTGTATCTTGCTTGCTGGGTCATATCAGGATTGTCATAACTGGAGTGTCAACTGGGAGAAGGGTGAATGATATTGCTCCTTCTTCCAGTGTTTGTCAAGTCTGGCTTTAAAGCTGTTTCTTCTTCCAATCTTCTCTACTTTACGGCTATCTTCACCTTCATCATCTTCTAGCTCCTCCTAGCTCCTCTTCCTTGATCCCCCTCCTTTCTCATCTCCGTCTCTTTCTTTTGAGAAATTAGCCTATGGAAAATAGTAAATGTAAGGTCAAATTTTTACTCAAAGTTTTTTTTCTTTCCAGATGACCTGTAGTAAAGTGACCTCTCTTCTAAGAATCTGGTTCACAAAGCCAGTGGTACTTCTAAGATAGGATGTCATCAAAAGCGGTTCTTCCACCAAGTCGCCTCAGACGATCGTCTCCAGAGACTACTGTTCATCTCCTGCAGAAGAAGTTGGATGTGGCAGAAAAAGAGACAATCGGCCTTGTCCATAAGCTGTCAGGACTAGGTTTCAATGGCTCGAGCAGGCTGAAGAATGGAGGTGGAGAGCAGAGGGGTGATTCCTCGGTAAGAGGAATGCATTTGTACATTGTGTTTATTTTTTATATTTGTATACCGTAAATCTCTGTGTATAAGATGCTTTTTTGGGGGCCACAAAAACCCATGCGGGATTTTACTGCGAGGTGCAGTTAAAGGTGCCGATTTGTGCTTGTGAACTTGTCACAAATAATAGTAACAATGTCGTTTTTAAAACTAAAGATGACAGACAAATTTTCCTCAAAGTCGAAACAGAAATCCGGCCATACAGGTAGTGTTGGTCTAGTTTCTGAGTGGTGAGTCAACACACCTTGTATGACTGAGCTGGGAGACATTGCCAGGCACAGTGCGTCTTATTCATGGAGATTTACGGTACAAGTTTATTGACTAGTCATTAAAAAAAAGATATTGAGGGGAAGTCCACCCTGAAATTAAGTTGGTTTTAATAGAAGCAGAAGATTAAACAATTGGAACCTTTCTCAAACTCTCACCATTAGTCTTTCATTCAAATTAGTGAAAAGTTCTGTGTAACTTGAATTTCAAAATGTCAAAGGAATACCCTACCAGAAGATATCACATGAAAAGGAACTAATTCAATTCTTTTTATTCATCCAAATTTACAAGAATACATCGAAATTTGTTTTAGTCACACATTGTAATAATACGTAATATAATTTTATGAAAAACTATATCGTTGTTTGAAATCATCAAAATTAAAGGTAGACAAATAGAAATATTCTTTTATTCTAGTACATGTACCGGTATTACATATTGAAAATGATGACAAGGATAGAACATTAGTGTGAAATCAGGCCAGGGTGTTCCTAAAAAAAAAAAAGTTTATCACAGAGTTAGCGCCCTTCCGACTCTCAACAGACAAAACAGTACTTCTGTACTCAACCCTTCAGATTTCAGAATGTATGCATTTGAATGCCATCTGCGAATTAATCTTATTTTGTCCTAAAATTGAAAAAAAGGAGAAAACAAAATACATCGTACTGAATATTTAATTTTTTTGCCAATAAAATTATAAAGATGTGTACTCTTCCTTACACTGAGGACATTGATTATTTAATCATGTTGTTTCAGATAATGATCAAGTAAAACTTTTAAATTCTACTATTGCTTAGACTTCCTTCCTTTGTGGAATTTCCCAGCAGATGAATTCACCAGACCCTATCCAGCCCTTTATCCCGAGGTCGGCTGAAACGGAGGTACTTCACAAGAACTATCAGACGCTTGTATCAAGGTTGTGCCGCAACGAGAGTCAGATTCAGACACTGAGACTCAACTTTTGTTCAGTGCAGGTACTGTAGTACGGGACAGAATGGTTACTGACATTTTAAAGTGTACCAAACACCTACAGGAATAGTTTGTGTATAGCTAACTTGAATAGAATAAACCTGAAAACTCTTTACCTGGGATTCTTTGGGCTAATAGGTAATTAAGAGTAAAATGAAAATGAAAATGAAGAAAAACTTAAAGCCCCTCCCACAGAACCCGAGTTGGACTTAGGTTACATATGGACCGTATTCTATGCATATGCATACTGATGCCTCTCGGAGCTTACTTTTATGCTAATTGAGAGTGTATCTTAACTTGCAATATTTCTTTATAGAGTTAATATTGAGAACTCATACAGTGTGAGTCAGAATATAAATTACAATTCTATTACTTCCAATTTTAAGAGTAAATTATAAATATGGCGGTACGTGCTATGGGCGTATGTACTTGTAGAATATTTATCCCGGCTTCTTTTGGTACAATATTCAATTATGGGATGATATTTCCTGGTTGACTGCACACAGCTATTGTACTTTGGCAAGACATCAATCTACATTTGCCACTCTCCACCCAGGTGTAGTAAATGGCTACCTGGTAGGAATTTATTCCTTGTACGCTTTAGGCATTTACGAGCAGCTGGGCTAAAGCAAGGGTAATAATGATACTCTGTATGCGCCCCGAGCATCCCCTAGGATGGATATGTGCACAATATACAGCACACATTCAATTCAATTAAATTCCATTTTATTTATTTGTTATCCCACATTTTAAAGACACATATAAACAGTTGTAAATACATACATTGGCAAATAATAGATGATAAAAAAGCACAAAGCTTGTAAAACAAAAGGCACCTGAACATATCATATGAAATGATAACAAATCAAATATCAAACATTAATTACCCTATACAGACACAGTCCACCCCCCCCCCCCCCAACCACACTTACAAAATCAGACATAATGAATAAAATAACTTTGTGTAGTAAACCAGGATAGCATTAAATATACAGAGATACATCATCATGATCATGATGGAACTTATTATCAAAATATTGTTTCGGCTTTAATTTGAAAACATTGAGTCAATTGTAAACAACACATGTAGCTATGCATATCATTAATATTATTATTATTTTCAAATATAGACTGCCAGAGATCTGGCCAAGAAAGAAGCGGGGACATTGAAAGAACAGGTCGATGTGCTGGCTGAGACTCATCATGCCGAAGTGGGCAGGTTGAACAAGGAGTTGGAAAGGACCAAGAAGGAGTGCAGAGACGCGGGCGTTGCCAGAAAAGCCTCAGAAGATGAGGCCAGAAGACTTCAGGCTGCTTTAAATGATGCTGCATATACTAACGTGAGTTTAGCTAGTAGAGTAGTTTTGGGATAGGTGAACTAATTATTTATGAACTTTTGCATTCTTTTTATGTTCGTGTGGAAGAGTATAATACAAATGAAAAGGCCCCTGAAGAGGACGGCACATCAGATGTCCTCATATTTGAATTATGACAAGTATTAGCATTCCAGCCAGGCGTCATTTTTACAAGCGCACACTCGCTCATCTAACCACATTAACTTTCGCATCCTACCGGGTACGCATTCAACAGCTGGATGGAGAGAGGCAAATGTAGATTAACGTCTTGCCAATGAACATTAGTGCCAACTTGTGATCTGCAGTTGGATGACTCATCCACTAGACCACAACACCACATGCATACGCCCTATATAATTTTGTTTTAAATATTGGGGTCCGGACTTCTGGTGCCCATTTAGTATCCACATGTGTTTTAGTTTTAGTTTATGTCCCATCTTATCTTTATGCCGTCCCCTACTTTTGTTTGTAAATTTACAAATCTTTCTCTTTTCGTTGTTGTTGCAGTCTGACTTCACCGTTGGATTTGAAGATATCCAAATTGCTAAACAAAAACTTGCAAAGAGAGTCAACGAGGTAGGTGAATTTTCAGATTTATGTTTTTATATTTATATTAGGCCTGAGTCATGTCAGGATTTTCATAAACCGGGTCCCGACGGCCTTGTACCGATCGGGACCAGGTGTCCCGAAATCAGCTCGCAGGATTTGTCACTTGCCTCTATAAAAATCGCATTTCATGATTATTATCATCAGTATGTCCCTTAAAAGTGACCTTTGTTATCAATCAAATAAATCAACACATGCATACCTTGGCTTAGATCGGTATATTCTTCCATTTGACATTATTTTCATCCCTGATTTGCGATGTTTAGTGCCATTATCGTGCCTCTAAATGTTAAAAAAACTGGGGCAAAGATAGAAAGACAACATTCGAGCTGCCGTTTTGATTTATGCAGGTTGAATAAATCTGGTCAAAAATATGAATGTTAGAATAATAAAACAGCTTTCTAAAAAATTCTTTTTTACAATATACCGATCATATAATTTTTTAAAGACAAAATAAATATTTATCTCTTATTTTAAACATAGCATGCTTTTTTGTAAAAGCTGAAAATTACTTGGTAATCATAAGAAGTTTCGATACGGATAGCTGTTGCAAGGCAAGTTCAGACTAGTCTTGGAAAAATGCGCAGTGCTCCTCGTTAGCTGTAATGCGTGCCAGAACGAACCCAAACAAAGACGTGATCGTAACAAGAAAAAAATCATTAAAAACTACAAGAGCACAATTGGAAAGACAACTACTCAAAATTATCGTAAGCAGATACATAACTTGGAGGAAGAATACAATAGTTGTCCAAAATTAATGAAAGTGAAAGTGAAATTGTCATTATAAATCAAATGAGTAAATATTATGCAATTGGGTCAAATGTAGAAAAAGAATTAGACAGGGATCATGCAATCATTTCACTTCTTCCTTTTTTTAAAGTTGAGAGAAGAATTGGGGAGAGAGGTTAGTCTGCGTGGAAGCCTGGAAGATTCGCATGCCATGCTCTTACAAAGAACATGTGAAATGGAGTCAATACTTGAAAGCGAGAGAAGAGAGGTAAGGTGATATGAAGTGATATGATTAATAAATCCATTCATTCATCTATCCATCCATCCGTCCGCCCGTCCGTCCATCCATCCATCTATCCATCGATCCATTCAACCAACCGTCCATCCATCCATTCATTCATTCATCCACCCATCTATCCATCCATCCGTCTATCTAGCCATCGTTCAATCAATCAATCTATATTTTAATCAAGTTGTCAACTAATCAGGGAGTCATTAAATATATTACCGGTAGGTAGTTTATTAGGATGGGTAGCACATTGTAACTTTGAGTATCATTAATATTAATTATTATGGGTAACATAGTTATTCTTCTTCTTCTTCTTCGTATAATGATTAGAAGTAATACTTAATAGTAGTAGTAGTAATGGAAGTAGTTTATCATTGATATTTAATATCTTGTATTATAGTCATTACCCCCACCATCATCATTATCACCATTATTATCATTGTTATAATTTCAAATGGTTATTTTGCTACGTGATATGTTGCTAGAAGTTAACTTCTATAACATTCCACATGCATATTCCGACATAGCATCATAACATTATGACAAACAGGTCAGCTCTTACTTTCTACCTTAACATCATATGATATAGGTTGAGTCTATGAACGAAAACTGCATAGAGCTGAGACACGAAGGTGCTAGACTGATGGAAGAAAAAAATCAGGAGAGTGCAAGAAGGAAAGCCATAGAAGAGGCTCTCACCACACTCAAAGCTGAACTAGGTGAGTTCCAAATTTGATCCTGGAGATGTTGTGTCATAGTGGTTCTTACACTGGACTCCAAATCCAAGGGTTGAGGGTTCAAATCTCAGTCTGGCACTAACGTCCGTCGACAAAACAATGATCCACATTTACCACTCTCCGCCCGGGTGTAAAAGGGTATCTGGCAATTTGCTGGGGTAATACTAATTGCAGGGCTCTCAGGAACAATAGCATTATTGATGCTGATGAGGCTTCCCTGGGTAAACAAAATTATTAATATTATCTCAACAGAGTACAATTCATTCCTATTCATAGATATAGAGCTATGTGCTTATACCCGTAGTTACTTTGTTTTGGACAAGTTCCATTTATAACAGTTAGTATTCTTTGGCACTGCATTCATATTTAGCTTATTTCATAAAAGTGATAATAATAACATCTTGTAAAAATATTTCCAGTGAATGAGAAATAGATGCTACAGTCTGAGACGGTAAATTTATAAGAAATTCATAGTTGAAATGGTCTCTAGTACAAAGTTATGTAAGTAAAAAATGTAGTACACATGCCAGGTGTTATGTCATTCCAAAAAGTATGATGGTTATCTGTGATTCTAAGCTGTCTTCATTGTTTTCTATGTATTTAAAGCCTCAAAGGATGTCAAAGTAGCAGAGCTGCTTGAGCAGAACAAGGTTAGTTATGACTGAATCAGATCCCTATGCCATGTTTCATTCTTCTCCTATGAAACGAGCTATATATTGCGCCCCAGAAAAAAACGAAACCGAGAATTATCAATGTTTTATTATAACTTAATCACAATTATAATTAATATATGACACATATTTGTAAAGCTTAGATCGTCCCCTTTCATTTGATGCAACTCATACAATGCATGAGTGATTAAAAACAATTTGAAGAAAGGGTACCAAAAGGTCATTTGGCAAACGGTATCTGAATTTCAAAGAGAAAATCACATTTCTAGAAAGCTCATTTTCTGCCCTTTCATTTGACACCTCAATCGGGTAAAATGAGCCAGGAATAACAAAGTTTTGTTTGCTTGCATATTAAAAGAATTCGTTTTCATGGGCTGAAGCCTGTATTCTTTTGTCTTCTTTGTTTGTTGTTAGGGTTAAAATGGCCGCCAAGGCCAACCTGTCTACACAGACCACCTGTTACAACAACTAATTTTTGTGTTTCATTTAGGTGGTCCCTGTAGACAGGTTTGACTGTATTATTATTAAAGAGTGCTTTTTGAGTACCGGTAGGTTCTCCAATGCCAATCCTTGCATTTGTGATTATGAATATATCTTATACTTTGTGCAGGTGTTTGCATCAGCCTTAGCTGCCTCTAAGAAGACATGCAGTGATCTGCACACAGAGGTGGAGAAACAAGCCACGCTGGTCATAGATACACAGGTAAGGCAATGCCTGTACAGTTAAACCTGCTTTAGTGACCGCCTGTATAGAAAAACCACCTGTGTACAAAGACCACATTTTTTGTTTCCCTTGAAAATGGTTTCTCAATGAAACATGTACTAAAGGAACCTGTACATATAGACCACCTGCCTATAAAGACCACTTTTCTTGTCTCCCTTGGGTGGTCTTTATGGACAGGTTTGATTGTATATTGTCAGGGTCTGAACTTTCGTTCGATTGATCCATTCAGTACAATACATTTTTTGTATTTATATTCAATACTTTATGCATGTACTCTACCTCTGGGTCTTTGTTACATAAAATGTAGTGAAAGAATTCAAGGGGCTCATTGCTTTAGAGATAAGTTTGTGTAAAATATCTTTGAATTTTTAAAGTGTATTGGATGGAAATGATTTTGTTGGCATTTTTCTCAAGAGATGCGTGCAAAACTAGCAGAACTAGTGTAGAACTACAAGTTGATCGCCTGTCTGATTATCAAGATATTTATGATTGGAAATCAAAATTTAAAAATTTGTTTTCCTAACGGTTTTTGTAATGCTACAGTCTATTGGGGAAAATGAGTACCTATGGTAAAACCGGTCACTCAAAGATTTTTTAATTCTTTGAGGCACTTCTTGATCATTTTGAAGCGCAATGTTTTTAGGGCTTCAATATTACACCATATCAAAGACACTGATAACACGTAGGGCCGTGCATCTCAGATTTAACATTGTTAAACAATGCCTTTAGGTAGAGGACTGGAGTCACGACTTCGATCTAGCTTAAAGATAATGTGAGCTGCCCAGTTCTGTAAACAACAGGTGATGTGAAAATGCATGTCAATTCTCATTTCTCATTTGCTCATTTTTCAGACTTTATTAGTCCAAGTACAGTCAGAAAGAGAGACCTTACAAGAGTTTGTGCAGAAAAATACACCTCATCCTTCTCAGGTATAAAACAGATGAACCAACAAAGTGATCATCTGGGGAAAATTGAGATTTAGACTTCTTATTGAGCGTTGTTATGGTGTTTTGTTACTTCATAGGAAAGATATTTATATAATATTGGATGGCTTTGAGTGTGATACAAGAATATATTGTCTTAGCGAGAGTAATATATTCTTGTTTCACACGAAAACAATCCATACAATATTATTATTATCATCTGTATTTATTATTAGTCTGACTAGCGAAATAACAAAATTTGACTTGCCTCTGTAAATATATTTGTTTTTCTTTTTTTCTGTGTGATATCGAAATGATATTGATATCGATAGTTGAAGTTCCCGGATGACTGAGCAATATGAAAACAATATTGGTCAATCATCCGGGTACTGCGCTAAAGATATTGAATACATTGATTTATTGTACGCCTTATATAGATAATAATATATGATAACCGTTTAAGATTGGATTGAATCGAAATGACATGAAAAGAATCAGTCCAAAGTGTCATTGGCAGCAAAATAAACAGAATTAAAAAAAAAAAAAGAAAAATTGACAAAAGGGAGGAAGAGTGACATGTAAAAAAGAAATTTGTGAGTCATTTTAAACTCTTTGAACTCATATTCATTTTCTTCAACAGTGCATCAAAGATTTCAAAATCAGAAATAGTGCCTTTTGTCAGCACAAGCCCAAATTCGTTTGACATAATGTGGTATTACCAGTACAGCCATTTTATTTTCACTGTTTCATGCAAGATTTTGAATTAGTTGTCTAGGAATCACCTACAGTAGTTATACTTGGTCTGGGTCTGATAGTATTTTGTTATCATGGAGCTTATTTGATTGTTTCTTATCTATCGTTATTCAGGAAGAGCAGTCTGTAGTTGCAGGATTGGAGTCAAGGATAAATCTTCTTGAAAAACAGAAGCAGGACTATGAATCTAGACTCAGTCAGGAAAGACAAGGCAAGCAAAGTGTGCAGAGCTCCAGGTATTATTATTATTGTTAATATTATTATTATTAGTTTTTTTTTAAATTTGTTATTATTATTAGTTTTTTGGCAGGGGGGGGGGGGGGGAACATATAGATGACAAATTAAATTATTAAATAAAGAGAGCAGCCCCCCCCCCCCCATCAAAACTGAACAGTTTATTTTAAAATATCAACTGGTCAGAAAGTAACATAATAATGGGAAGGGGGACATTTGCAATGGTATTGGCTTCATACTCCTTCGCCAGCCAATTGAAAGCGATGTGAATATTCCATTTATTCAGTCTTGGATTCTCGTACTATTTAACAATAAATACAAGAATGGCAATAAACTTTGTTCATAGTTTGCCTATTATTTGTTACAATGCAGGTATTATGATCTCGAAATGTGAATAGAGTCAAGAATATTGATTCAAACGGTCTCTCCTACCAAGTATATGATCTAAGAACTTTACAGGAATTATGAACAAGTGAGTGGTATACTTGGGTTTTATTTCCATGCAGTTCGAGGATAGAGGAGCAACTGATTTCTGCCAAACTGAAACTGAGCGAGAAAGAAACGATACATCAAAATGAGATGGCCTCATTGGTAATAAATTATTTTGTTGTTTTTGTCGGTTGTTATTTGCCTTTTGTAATTACTATATTTAATGATAATGCCTTGTGTGCATATCTCTATTCAGTCAATCCCATCTCTTGTAATTTACAATGTTTACGTTTTTGTAAGTGGTTTGCATCTGCTTGATGTAAAGGTGCTATGAAAATGTTATGTTTTATGATTAGTAGTATTATTATTAGTTTTATTATTATTATAACTATAATTATTATTATTAATGTTATAATTATTATTGATATTTTTGTTGTTGTTATTGTTATCATTATTATCATTCTTATTATCATTCTTCTTATTGTTGTTGTTATTATTAGTAGTAGTATTATGTTTCTAATTGGTTATATTCCTAGGAGCATGCCATTGGTGTTGTGAAGGATGAACTGAATGAAGCACTGAAAGAGAAAGAAGCTGTATTGAGGTCAAAGGATTCGCTTATGGATGAGGTGAGCTCTGCTGCTTCTAAAAATTTGCAGAAAAGTCTTTTTTCTCCATTTTTGTTGTGTTCTTCTAAAATGCTGATGTTAGCCTCTTGAAAGCAACTCATATTGTGTTTTATTGATATTCATGTCTACAGTATATAATGTCCTTCCTATTTCTATATGTGATTCTATATATTGTTTTTCCCTCTTTCTCTATCTCTCTCTATCTCTCTCCATCTTTCTCTTTCTGCATTTCTGTTTCAGTATCTTTCACTGCCTAGCCCCTTGGGTGTTCGTCTCCACCTCCCCCTCTTCCTCCCTATATCTCTACCCTGTCTATCCCCTCCCTTCCCCTCTCTCTATCCCCCTTCTCTTCTCTCTAGCCCCTCCTCTCCCCTCTCTGTATCCCCTCCCTCCACCTTTGTCTCCTCTGTACTCCCATCCCTTTTTCTTCCTTACCCCTCTCTCTTTTCTCTCATTTTCTCTCTCTCTCTGCCCCCTCTCTCTCACCCTCTCTCTCTCTCTCTTGGTTTCATATCTTCTCCTTGTGTTTCTCTCTCCTCAGTTGCAACATTCGTTATCTTACCTCCTTTTATTATCTCTCTCTACATCAGGTGAATCAGGCCGTGGATAGTATGACAGAAGAAAGGCGATCAGTTCAAGAGAAGATTATTCAAGCTCAGGTCAGTCCTGTGCCATGTTACATGATAAGAAGAATGATGATGATGACGATGATGATGACGTGACGATGATGACGATGATGATGATGATGATGATGATGATGATGATGATGATGATGATGTTGATGATGTTGATGATGATGATGATGATGATGATGATGATGTTGATGATGATGATGATGATGATGATGATGATGATGATATGAAGAAGAAGAAGTCAAAGACGAAGACGAAGAAGAGGAGGAGGAGGAGGAGGAAGGGGAAGGAGGAGGAGGAGGAGGAGGAGGAGGAGGATGAGGAGGAGGAAGGGGGGAGAAATGGGGATGGGGAGGAGGAATGGGGAGGAGGAGGGGGAGAGGAAGGAGGAGGAGGAGGGGGAGGAGGAGGAGGAGGAGGAGGAGGAGGAGGAGGAGGAGGAGGAGGAGAGAAGTAGGAATAATAATAGTGTGGACATGTATTTAAAAGAATAATAACAGGGACTGACATCACTAGATAACGTGATATCGATGTCTTTCTGTATTACAGGCTGAGGTAACAAACTTAACCAGACACAAAGAGGCAGCTGAGCAAGATAATTCACAGCTGAGGGAGAGGATATCAATACTTGAACAACATCAGGTAAGTACACAAATATATTATTCATAAGGTCTTAGTCCTAATGTACAGTATGCATCACATGTGTTTAATAAGCAATATTTGTATGACTCAGTGAAAGAACACTTGTTATAACATGACTCCACACTTTTTTTGGAAGGGGGTCTGGATTCAACTTAGAGTCTGTATGCTTTAGCCTATGTTACTTTTCAAAATGATTGGGTTCCGGCTTTGGATTTTGGGTTTCCATGTGCCCTGGGCACTTGTTAGTGTCGCGTTCATTGGGCCTAGTTACAAGATTCAAGCATTAGTAGTCAAATCTGGACTGGATGTAAAACTTTTTTGTGCATCACTGACTATCATTGTTAAGTAATAAACAAAATGAGAATCAATCCAACAAATTCCTTTCCAGTGCATTTTTCTTTTAAACCAGAACTCGACTTTATCATGTAAAGTGTGCACATGTACCTCTTAATGGCAGCAACAAGTAGTCTACAGACAAAGATTCTGTTTGATTTTAAATCACAGTTCCATAAAGCCTTGAACTGAGCCTAGATCTGATAGTCACTGCTTTTCAGGAATAGCAATAGTTGCTATAGTCTTGCAGTCCAGACACTGTCTTACACACTACGACTGACAAGGGTGTATGCCAGCAAACTGAACTGCGAGTGCCATCAACGTTTGTATGTATTCATCATGTTATCTTCATACTTGTTTTCAGTCCGCCCATCAGAAAGTGGAATCGACCATCACAGAGTTGCTTGACAGTAAGAACAGGTTGGCCTACGAGAAGGGTCAACTCCAAAATAGGGTGGAACAACTACAGAGGGACATGAAAAGCATGGACAATGTTCATGCAGATGCAAGTAAGCTGAAAAGTATCAACGCCGACCTAGAAGCAAAGCTGAGAGAGGTAAGAATGACATTTATTGGCAGATTAATGAATGAGTAGTCCTACAAGCCTCATATTTCATGATTATTATAACAAATATAAAGATAAAGAGGAGGGAAGATGGAATAAGATACAGTCAAACATGCTTTAGTGACCGCCTGTCTACAACAAGCACATTTTTTGTTTCCCTTGAAAATGGTTTCTCATTGAAACATGTACTAGAGGAACCTGTCTACAAAGACCACTTTTTGTGTTTCCCTTGGGCGGTTGCTGTAGACAGGTTTGACCGTATTTCAGGGAATAATGGGCAATTAGGGAGAGAGAGAGAGAGAGAGAGAGAGAGAGGGGGAAAGCAAGAGATGGAGAGACATACAGATTAAACATGATACAGGCGTGGAAAAGAAGAGTCACAAGTTTCACTCTGAAAGAATATCAAAATCCAAAGAGAGAGAGAGAGAGAATATGAGGGAGAGTTGAGAAACCCTATTTAATGGAGATACTTTTTAAGTGATTATGTTTCCTTGATGGCCTAAAATATTCAAATATGAAGGATTATCACTATAAAAACTAAACCATCAATAAAAATAAACTTTCATTATTAATGTGTTATGCTAATGCTTTTTTTCTTGCCTCACAAACTTTTACAGGCAAAACGTGAACTAACTGAAGGAAAGCAGAACCTGCAACACATGGAGAATGTTTTGAAACAGGTACAGACTGTAGACAAAATAATCCTTTTTTAATTTATTTTTCTTCACGTTTCATGTTACAGTCAATATTGAGTTAATAAGATTAAGCCAGGTCATAGTTTTCTGCAACAATCCATGTTGAATACTCATTGAAAACAACAATAATTTTGTTTTCTTAGAATTTCCCCCTTTTTTTTCTTTTCTTCTACTTAGTATTCTTATCTTCTTATTTCCTCTTCTTTTTTTCTTCTTCATCATCTTCTTATTCATCTTCCTAGTGTTTGTCTTTTTCTTCTTCTTCATCTCCTTCTCTTTCTTCTGCTGCCTTTCTTCTTTTTTTTTTCTTTTTCTGTAAACGAATCTTCTTTCTTCTTTTTTTAAACTTTTTTTTATTTTAAATTTCCCCCTTCTTTTTAACCATAATCACTATCATTCCTGCTTTGTCTTCATGAGCTTTTTCTTCCTCTTCTTCTTTTACTACTTCTTCTTCCTGTTTTTCACACTCTTCAGCTTCCTCTTTTCTTCATTGTTTTCTTCCCCTTGGTATTGATTATATCGTTCTCTTCTTATTGCCTTTATGATTCTTATGATTGTTATATATTTTCTAGGAGCATGCCAATGCAAGCAGGAAAGAGGAAGACTTTTCACTCGCCATCCAAGTCAGAGACAGTGCCTTGAAAGATGCAGAGAAACTCAGAGAAGAACTTGAAGCTCTCAAACGCAGAGAAAAGCAGAAGGTAGTCATATCTGAAATGACAGTTGTCAGAATTGAATGATGTGTTTCTCTAGGTCCTTACATGCATGTATTGTAAAAGTCTTCCATACTGTGTAACGATTTGTTGATTGCCTTGAGAAAGGTCCTTTTAGTGGAATTTGATTTAAATTTGTATTATTTCTCTATACCTGGAAAGCAGAATTATATTTCTTGTAATAATTTTAGGATCTGCAAGAAACCTTTACAGATTGCAAATATTCTATGTTGTGGGATGAAACTTCTGTGGATGTAATCAATTCATGAAATGTTATGCATTCATGTCCATTTGCATTGTGTGTCCCTGTTAATAGTTTCCAAAGTTAGGCATCCACCTGCCCCAAATGTGTCTCGAGCCTTGCATTATTCTCATTCCTTCAATTCTCCCTCCCCCAGACGACCACTCTACAGAAAAACCTCTCCGATGCCAGGAGCGATCACAACAAGATGGCCGCCACGCTTGAGAGCATCATGACTTCCCATGGTCAGCTTCAGGTTGTCGTGGAAACCTTCCAAACAGAGATGGGCCAGAGGGATCATGAGTTAGCGGCTCTCAGACAAGAAAGGTAGAAAATATTCAGGTCTTTTTCACCCAGAGTAATAATTATGCAGTCAAACCTGTCTATAGCGACCACCGAAGGGAAACACAAAAAGTGGTCTCTGTAGACAGGTTTCTTTACATGTTTCAATGAGAAATCATTTTCAAGGGAAACATAAAATGTAGTCTTTTTAGACAGGTGGTCACTAAAGCATTTTTGAATGCAATAATATGTCTTGTTTACCCGGGGTAGCCTAATCAGTATTGATACTGTACCTCATCCACAGATGTAAGTAACATGGAACAGGAACATGTTTCATACATAATGACAAGGAAAGTTCCCCCTTTTTTTGGGGGGGGGGGGGGGTCTTATTCTTGATAACATATGCTACAGGAAATGACCAAATACCTTTAACTTTCCCATTTATGCATTTGCCTCAATTTATGTCTTGTCGTATTGTTGTCATAACGGCAATGATCTTCTCCCTTCCATCAAAATCAGGCAAAGTCACAAAAGATCAACAGAAAAAATGCAGAGGGAGGTGACCAGATTGCAAGAACAGCTTGCTGCCATGGAGACAGCTGACTCTAACCAGGTCAGAAACACATCTTGTTATTAAACATCTTAGTGGAAAGGGTCCATTGGTAAAACCGAAACCCGAAAAATAAGCAGTCTCAATTCTCCAAAAGAACAAAGTATGCATGTCAAAATGTATTTATTTGTAGTGTCTACATAAATTTACCCATCTAAGTGCTTTGCACGTGTCTCACTGCGCATTTCCATTGTTTACCTCACCAGCAACCATTGCATCTTTGCAATTGTGCACGCAAGTAGAACTATGCCCAGTCAATATTTTTCGCTATACTGCCCAGCTCCTCTGGGAACCCAAGATTGCACTATGCCCCTCAACTTTGTCTCTTGAGGGGCACAGTACAGTTTTGAGATCAACTTGGGCAACAGTTTTACCCATGCCTCTCAAAACAGTCAACATTTGTAAACAATTACCTCATTGAGGCTCATTTACCTTTATGAAAACTCAAACTTATTTGTGACCACTTTTATTGTACCAGCTTGCAAGCCTTAATATAGATCTCACTAAGGCTGCTCAGTCCCAAACCAAAATGGCCACCAGACTACAAGAAGCCTTAGCAACCGTCTCCAAGCAACAGGTTGCTCTGGAAGGTCTACAAGGTGAATTGGACAAGAGAGCTGCTCAATATCACATACTCTCAGATACTAGGTGAGAAATTATATTCACTGTCAGTTTTATTCCTTTGTCTTTGCAAGTTTTCTGTTTTCCAATTGATATTCAGTAATAAATGGGGTTTAGTAGGAATAAAACTGGATAAGCTTTTCTGATGCATTTTTTTATGAAGCTAAAGTTAGCTCAGTGACTTGTTTTGACATGAAAAGACACTCAAAGGTCTAACATTGGTAATATCGGTGAATAAAAACGTTGTAATTATACATATCCAAATGGCATTCTTTTGTAATAATTGAGTCTTATCAAGGATGTATAGATATTTGCTATCATATTGTCCTAAAAGTATGGTTCTATCACAATGCCATCAAATCTTTTTACAAAAATTATGCATATTGCATTCCGGACACCTCTTTTAATGTTGCATTATTTTGCTAAGCTACCTAAAAAAGAGTTATTTCTGTTCTATATGTCTTAAATTTACCAAGTTTAGAAGACTCCATGAAACAATAAGGGACCTTGTTGTGTGAGATGAAAATAACACTGATTGAAAAATTGATATTGTCATATAGATATTATTGCACCCATGTACATGTAGCTATTGGGAAAGTACCATCAATAACTATACTGTATATATATGCCATACAGACAACATGAAAAGGAAGAATCCCATCGGATCAAAGAAGAGTTAGCAGGAAAGGTTGAGTCACTCAAGCAACAACTAAAATCAACTCGAGACAGCAACCAAAAGAAACTCACTCTTGAGTTGAGTGAACTCAGACAAACTCATACAGACTCAAAGTCCAGAGCTGAGAAGCTACCTAAAGAGAACAAAGAACTCCTGAGCAAACTAGATGATGTGGAACAGAAGCACTCCAAACTCAAGGTAATGTTATGGGCCATTCCAACATTCTAAGCTGTTTAATTTGAGTTGAGTGAACTCAGACAAACTCGTACAGACAAAAACTCTAGATCTGAGGAGCTAGCTAGGAAGAGAGAGTGAGAGAGAGTGCAACAAACTAAAACAAACAAAATTACCACTGAACAGACTGCAGAATGTGGAAATTAAGATGTTCACACTTCTTTAATAGAAGCTTACATTAGAGTTGAGTGAACTCAAACAAACTAATCAGGACTCAAAGTCCAGAGCTGAGAAGCTAGCTAAGGAGAACAAATAACTCTTTAGCAAACTGGATGATGAATTGAGTTGAGCAAACTTAGACAAGCTGATACATACTCAAGTTTCAGAGCTGAGAAGCTAGCCAAAGAGAACAAAGAACTGATTAGTATTCTAGAGGACCTGGAAGAGAAGCACTCTAATCTCAAAGTAAATTATTGAGTAATTACTGTTTGGTACAAATTCACCTAAGATTTAAGTTGACTCAGAAAAAGTACCACTGACTCAAAAGGTCCAAGGTGGAAAAGTCTGTAAACGTGAATGAGCCATTATTGAGTTTTTATTTTCATTTGTCTGCAGATACGGCTTGCCAGTCAAAAGACCCAGCTGGACCAGTTTAGGAACACCCAGAGGTCCAACAAGGACCTAGAAACCCAACTGCTCCAGATCCAGGACCAGCTGAAAGAGATGGAACAGACGAAGACCGAGTATGCCGCCAAGAATCGGGACCAGTCCAGGACCATCGCTAGCTTCATGGACCAGATGTCAGGACTGCAGAGAGAGCTGGGGAGTCTTTCTGAGATCCAGAAAGAAGAATCTTATCAATCAAGGTAGAGATCTTTTTTTTCGGGGGGGGGGGGGGGGGGGGGGGGAGTAGGAGTAGGAGGTGGCCTTTGTGGATTTAATGTGTATGTGTGTGACACTCTTCATATTAAAGCATGATATCGGTTTAAAAATAGTTTGTAATATTGCTATAAAAAAATTTGAAAAACTATTGGTTGCACTGTGCACAATTGCTAAAAAAAATTTAAAGGAAAGTCTCAGGGAAAAACACTGATTTTGTAGCAAGGATAATTTTTTTAATATTTTTAAACAGCTGATTTGGAGACAAAGTTTCAAATGGGTTATACATTAAGTTATAAAAAAAAAATGGTTTACGAAAGTACTAACTCAAATGTTATTGTGTCCTCACAGAGATAAAGTTCGAAAGTTGGAAAAGGATGCTGAGAAGGCCAGTCGTATCCAGAAAGAAAATGCCAAGCTGAAGAAACAACTGAGAGAAACGGAGGAGAAAACGTTAGCCACTGAGGAGAAACTAGCTGAAGCCAGCAATGAATCCCTCCAGGTACGTGGGCTTCAAACCTTGTAGGGCTGGGGGAGGGGAGGAGGGGGGGGGGGGAGGGGGAGGGGGGTACAGGGGAGGGGGGACAGGGGGCTGAGTTCATCTTAGACAGAAATAACTGTGTGGTATGGGGGATTCTTAACAAAAAACTGACATAGGTCAACCTTTCCTTACACAGACAGTACCCCATGTCTCTTGAATCACAGGGGGTTAACTCACAATTTTGGCCACAATCTATCCAAAAGTGTGTCTCCATTTAGAAATAATTGTAACCATGGTTTTTGACATAGAAATCTAGGATCTGAAAAGAAAGATATAAAGTTCATCAGATGTCTCAGGGGAACAGCTGTTGATACAAGAGACTGAAGGTTTCAGTCTAGATCCACCTATGCATGAGAAAACTGCTGTACATATACAGTCAAACCTGTTTATAAAGGTTACTTAAGGGAAACACAGAAATTGGCCACTGTAGACAGGTTCTTTGACATGCATTTCCTTCTTAGGTTTGAATGTATTTTGTTTCAATCATTTTATTGGATGTTCTCCTACTGTTTTTTCAAAATTTAAATTTCCATTTTTTCTTTGTTTAGATTTCCAACCACCTGCAGGAGGCCCATGACTGGTTCCAGTCTCGTTACAGCAGTCTCCAAAAAGCTCTGAGCGAAACAAAAAAGAAACAGGCCCTGCTGGAACAGACGGCTGCGGAACAGCAGAGGGAGCTCTCCCACGAGAGACAGAAGTCCGAGTCACAGACTAAGAAAGCTGAAGAGATGATCAGGGTAAGGGGGTCTCGAGTTAATTACTTGAAACAATAATGATGAATAGTATGTTAGTGGGTTCTTGTATAGCGCTCATCTTTGCTCGATTTGACACACCCCCTGGGGGCTGTTTCACAAAGATCAAACTTAAAAGTCAAACTTAAAGTGACTTGGCAACATTGTTGACGGTTGATGAAAAAAATTGCTTAATTTTTGTATATAATGTTACTTACTATATTCCTTCTACTGTACTAACCCTCTGTCATGCAAAAATTCCTGAAACAAATTCTCATACCAAGAAGATATCTATGGTGGTTTTCTTTGAAAAGGTCGATGTATGACACACTCTAACAGTGATTAACAGTAAATTCTCCCAACCATTTTTGAATTTTCCCAACCGTTTTTTCATGAAAAAAAGACGTAAAACAGGCTATAAAACATCTGTCAACACTTAAATGTCTGGAATGGAATGTAGAGCTATTTTATTGCTTTGTGACGATTTCCATTCACCTAAAATGTAATTGAATTGTAATAATATAGTTGGGAGAATTAAGGAATCGATCAGATCAGTTTTTCCCTATTTGTACCATGAATAATGGTCCATTTTCAGTCAAATTTTCAGATTATCTTTAATTGTACATCTAGCATTGAAGTCACTACCTTAATAGCACCACTATCTCTCATCTTAACAATGTTACCAAGTCCCTTTAAACATTGGACTTGAACATTATGGACAGCCATTTGTAGCCTTCAAATAAAATATATTCAAAAGTAAAAATGTTAAGTATTTTTAGACTTTTCGTAAATTCCACATCAAGAACATGAAGTCTCCTTGATAAATAGAAAATATGAATGATTTGAAGCAACATTTTATGCCTTTGTAAATAACTATTACAAAATATTGTTCATAGAGGCTAATGGCTTTCCATAATTGTTAAGTCCATTAAGTTCGACTTAGGATCTTTGTGAAACACCCCCAAGGACTGATTGCAAGTCCTCCAATCAATTGCAACCTCACAAACTCTTATCTCTATAGTACAGAATTTAAATTGATAAGAAGCTGCAGTCAACGTGAATCACTCGCAAGACGGGGCAGTAATTCATCCGACGAACAATTGTGCCTTGCAACTACAACCAGAGAGAGAGAGAGAAAGAGAGAGAGAGAGAGAGTATTCATTACTTTATTTAATAGTATAATAAACCTTGATCAATATTTGTTAAAATCATATTATTTTTTGTATTCCAGGCCAGTCGTCAAGCTCTAAATCAGTTAGCTAACCAAGCTGAGGTTGACCAACTTGAGACCAAGACTCAGATGCACAACCTTGCCATGCGAGTGCAAGCAGAGCGGGATCACGCAACTTATGCAGATCACAAGATGCAGAAATTACTAGTAAGGCATCGCTTGTTCTGATCGTAATACAATATTGATTATAATATTCCGGGTTGACTGGTTCCAGTCTCGGTTCAGCAGTCTCCAAAAAGCTCGGGGGGGGGGGGGGGGGGGGGGGGGGTACAATCTTCATATCTATGATGCCTCTAAATGCTTTACAGAAATATTATCATCCGAGTCGGGCTTGCCCGTACACAATGTACCCTAATGCACATTCTCCACTCCCTGGGGAACATTCCAGTCAGGCGCTGGTTTACAGATGGTCACAATGCTAAGCACACTTCATTGACTTTTGCATCCAAGAAAATACCTATTTAACACCTGCGTTGAGAGCAGCAGTATAGATAAAATGCCTTGCTGGGGATCAAACCCATGAACAGGGACCTGTTTCACAAAGCCTTTTTTCAATGACAAATGACAAAAATCAGTGACAAATCTGCTGATGACCAATCAGAAGCAAGGATTTCAGTAGCTTATAACAAAGACTCTCATTTGTCACTGATGACAGATTTTGTGAAACGGGTCCCGGTACTGTACTTCTTGATATTTTGTGCGTCTCATTATTGTGTGGGGGGGGGGGTATATTTTTCATGTGTACTTATTATTACTATATGCAAGATTGAATGATGTGTGTGTGTAGGGGGGGGGGGGGGGCTGTTGGTGTGTAGGGTGTGCACAAATTGTCTGGTAATGTGAGCTAGGGTCAACACATCTACTGAATGGTTTTAGTGGACGGTCCATGAACATTTCTTATCATTAACATCAACATTCTTCTTTTTCTCTCTTCCTCTCCCTTTCTTCCAGAACACCAGTGCTGAATTAGTGGAAGAATTGACTCTCGAGTTAGACCGGTCCTACAGCAATACAAGGCCTTAATGATGATTTTCTAACAGCGATTAGCGATTTTTAGTTTAGACTCAGTGGCCCAAATTCACAAAGGAGGTTTAAATTTATCCATGGATTAAAATTAACGAAAACTAAGCGTGCCTTGCCTTGCACCGTCTAATATTGGACCTCTGACTTTGTCACACTTATTTTGCGCTATTTTTAGACCATGGGTTGAATTTGAACCTTTTTTGTGAATTTGGGCCAGTAGGTGTAGATCTTGTTGTTATACAATTTTGCAGCTGTAAAAAGCCTTTATGATGGTGCTCTGCGGTGTTTGATAAAAAGTACACTTTTACAAATTTCTTATACACACGATAGATGCTGCCATTTACGACGCCGTGGCGATACAAAGTCTTCAGTTCTCCAATCCCATGGTTACATTGGATGATAATAATCATTTTAAGAAAAAAATTTCAAGATAATGTAATACAAACATGAAGAGAAAAGGAATATTTGTATAATATTGGATGGTTTTGAGTGTGATACAAGAATACGTTGCTCGAGCTATGACAATATTGGATGAGTCGAAGATGAGTCCAATTCGTCATAGCGAGAGCAATATTTACATAGCATTACACGAAAACAAAGCCATACAATATTATTATAAATCTATATCAGGCCGACTAGCCAAATAACAAAATTTGACTCAATAATCAAGCAATGTTGTATCGACAGCTGAGGTTCCCGGGTGACAGAGCAATACAAAAACAATATTGATCTGTCATTCAGGTACTGCTGTAAAGATATTAAATACACTGATTTATTGTACCACTTGGAAGCCTTATATAGATAATAATAGTATATATATGGTGCCAAACTAACATTCTATGCACTCTATAATTGTTCATTTGTTGTATACCACCGATAATTCTTCAGATGCTCGGATCTTTCAGCACTGTATCTCTTATGCAGCTTTTCTCCCTTACACTATGCATGTTTTGTAGTATTTTACTTGCCTGGCATGATCTGGGGCCCATTTCATAAAACTTGTTATCTATAACAACTGCTAAATTTCTATGTCAAATTTTCTCTTAGCTAATCAGATGCCATGATTTCAGTAGCTTATAACAGTAGCTTGTAACTTGTTATTGATAACAAGTTTCATAAAACAGGGCCCAGATGTCTTCTCTTCACCTGCTTTATGTAAAGATGGTTTCCTTACCGAGAGGAATACTATCAAAACATTTATATTTTTCAGACAATAAGTGAATATCAGTTATATAACACCCTAGCAGTGATTGGTCAATTAAGGAACAGCTATGACATCATCATTGCTGAATGGCTGTCAGCTACATTTTGGATTTTTATATCAATATGTGAAAAAATGTACAAATTTGGAGATGGGAACATTTCACCATTGTTCTTAGATATATGACCATGGATCATTTAGGACAAAATAAAGTACTTCCCTGGGGGAGACCGTGGAACTGAAGAATTCTGAGGCTTGGCCCATGGTCTAACAGTCTCTCATATGAAATATTTTATATCACATGCAATTACCTGTTTAAATCACTATTTAAAAAAAAATTGCAGAGTACAATTTATACTGCTTTCAATGCCTGTTTTAACCATTTTTATTCATCAACCATACATATAAGGTTCACAAACTTTAAAATTACTGAAATATCTTTGATTTATTTTAACATCAATGCAGAGGCATGCAAATATGAATGTTGCTTGAATGAAATATACTTACACATTATTATACCAAAGTAGCTCTTTTTCTGTGCATGTATTAGAACATAAAATATGACAGTAAGCAACAATGTGTCTTGAGAATAAGATAAAGCTGTTATAAAATTTACAGATGACATTTATTGTGCCAAACAAACTGAAAATGTACATATTGTCCATACTATTTATTTTGTAAATTTGGGGATTGTTCATATATATTTGATTTCTGAAGCAATAAAGAGGTTTTATTCATGAAAAAGATTAGTTTATACATGAGATTTGTTGAAACTACCGGTATGTGATTTTAAATAAATATTAATCCTTCTAGTGAGTGGCCCTCTCCTAGATATAGTACCTGATACATGGAATAAAAAAAGAATTTGAGAGAGAGAGTGAGAGAGAGAGAGAGAATGAAAGAGAGAGAGAGAGAGAGAGAGAGAGAGAGGGGGGGGGGGGGGATAATGGGGCATATGAAAGGGGCTAGGGAAGGACGAGTGAAGAGGACAAGAAAAAGAAGTTGAAGAAGTGAGGAGGAGGGGGAGATTAAGAAAAAGTAAGGGCTGAGGACGAGCAGAAGAACTTAAGAATGAGAAATTAAGAAGAAATAAGGAGGAGGAGGAAAAGAAGACGAAGAAGAATTATATTCATATTATGAAATATATAGTACTTGTGAGCTTATATTAGTATATTTGATTGTGGCAAACACTTTGTTTAAACAAATATATATGTATGTATCAGACTCTTATTTATGCACTGTTACATATCTCTTTGTATTTGAAATCCAACCTTTTGGTTGCAATAATGGAATAATAATAAAAGAAGTATATACGAAGACGGAAGATGAAGATTGAGGGAGAAGAAGATGCATGAGGAAGAAGAAGAAGATGATGGAGACGAAGATGATGATGGAGATGAAGAAGAAGAAGCTAGGAGAAGAAGGAATAAGAAGATGAGAAATAAAAAGGAAGGAGAAGGAGAAGGAGAACAATTCCTCGAGAAAAAAATCTCAAGAATATTAGAGCGGATATCGAGCAAAATAGAACTGATGAGAATTGAGAGAGCCCCCCCCCCAAAAAAATACATCGTCTTACTAGTGTTAGTCTAACCACTCGAGTCTCTTGTTTAGATTGTTGATTATAGTTATTTAACTTTTACCTTAGATTCAGTTAAATATGTAGATATGAATAGTATAATTTTGCATTTGTAGGCATATATATTTTCATAAGACTAAAAAAAGAAAACAGAGGTACTATAATTCCTGTTAAATTGCACCCTTTCACATTATCATTTTGATCCGTGGCTCGTGTAAAGGCTAGCAAGCATGTCATTCATATTATTTACCATCAAGATTAAAATTGGGTCGAAAGACTATCTTTTTGCTAGGTCACGACTTTGTTCAACTACTTAGCCACTTCGTAAGTATAACTGATTGTTATATTATTTGATATGATTCGATATTTAATTATGTGCTAATGCGATAATGGTTTTTTGAAGCCTTTTAAGTCACCGAAAAACCAGAGTCGAGCTGGATTGCTGACTTCAGCATTGTTTCTCCACGTCCATCGTACCCGCGGTGCATGGGGCAGATGTCCCGTGTGATTGTGGACAAGTCTGGCAGCCAGCTGCTTCTTGTATGCATTGAAGATTGAGCTGAGGCAGCGGCCGGATAACGTGTGACAAAGATGCGCCACGTAAACAATAGCGGTTGCTTAGTGGATGCATATGCGGCATATTATGAATAGAACTTAGAATTAGAAGATGGTTGTATCCAGATTCAGGTCTTTATTAACCTGACTCAAATGTAACTTTCTTTGGAAAGTAATTTTGTTCAAAGTTTTACCTTTAAGTTTAGGGAATGTAGATTGTGATGTTAATTATTTATTGATGACCAGTAGGGGCGCTGGTCCAAGAATAAGGATCGTCTTCATAAACGAGGATCGTCTTCGTAAACACAGACCGATGCGTCCTCAAAAATAAGGACCGTCTGCATTTTCGCGGACGTTTCATATTTTTGATCGGCGCATTGGCGATGCAAAAAACAGATTCTGCAATGATTTTCTTGAATCATTTTACATTGACTTTGTACAGAGATCTTCACATTATGAGCAATAAATCCTTGGGAAGACGGACAACCCATAAAAGTAGACGGTGAACTAGGGTTATTTTCCCCTGGGGAATCCATTTTTGGCATCGCCAGCAGGCCGTTCTGTAACATGAAACCCCCAGAGCGCCGATGAAAAAAAACGTCCTCGAAAATGCAGACAACCCATATTTTTGAGGACGCATTTTGTCTGCGTTTATGAGGATATCCTTGTTTATGAGGACGATCCTCATTCTTGGACCAGCGCCCCTACTGATGACATAAGTCATTGGTCAAATTTTGAAGATTGATTTTCCAGGCAGGTTATGTTTCCAGATTTTTTAAATTTTAAACAGCAATTTGAAGAAGATTACATGCAATAGACCCTATTTCATAAATCTTCTTTTATATTGAACAATATAATTATGAATATTAAAGAACAAATATTCAGGATGGTTAGTGATAGATTTGAATTGAATTGGAGGCGAGTTGGCTCAGTCGGTAAAGCGTCTGCCTGCGAACCAAAGATCCCAGGTTCGAATCCCACCCAGGCGGATGATTGAAGCCTGCGTTGTGTGTTAACATGCCCCTTGTTCATAGACGCACGCTATGTTAAGTGGAAAACACTCTGTCCCTCGGATAGGACGTTATATGGAGGCCCTGTGTAGAGAAGAGTCACTACCTTTGCATGTTAAGAACCCACTGCACTATTCGTATAAGAGTAGGGGGAAACCTCAGTGTAGTGGTCCACCTGCACACACCCCAGTATAGCACGATAATACTCTGTAAAGATGTATGTACTCAAAATGGAAGAAGGATAAATATTTTTTGTTTAATCCGAGGTCAAAGGAAAAGGCTTCATCATGTTTGTTAAGTGTCTGAACACACGACCCCCTGTCCCCCTGTCCTAAATGAAAAGCCACAGATATTCAAAACATGAAAAGGTCCCACCTTGTACATTTTTGAAATAATTACTCCTACCAAGAACTTCTTGCTCCTACAGAGATGAAGGTGCTACATAAATAGCCTTTGATTCCCCTTTTCAAAGCATACTTCCACCTGTGTATTATGGAGTGCACTGCTTATGCATAAATGAATAATGATTGCATAACTTTCATGAGCACTTATCCAGTATTTTTTCTCTGTGAATTTCGAAATTTTGTCTGCAATGACTTTTATCTGCTCATCCAAGAAGTTGCCAGCAAGACTGAAACTATGAACTGCCTTATTGGAATGAGCATTGCCATGATAAAGTAAGGACAAGGGCTGGACAAGTTAAGATTCCTAAGATATAGATTTTAAAGTTGCATGTATATTTAGATAGATTAATTATCTGTTGTGGCTAGAATATGAATTAAGATAAGAAAAATGTCTCTTTTTTGTATTTGTCTTCTTCTTGTTCTTCTTTCATTAGTGTTGGAGATCAGCAGCTGTTTGCTGCAAGTCTAATTTACAGTTGTTGTTCATGCTGAAGAAGTATTTTGTATTTTTGTTATTGCCAAAATAATTCATTTTTGTATGTTTGTTATCATTGAACAGGTCAACATGTTGATAAGGGTCTGAAGTGTGAATAACTTCTGTGATCAAACAGCGAAGACTCACTTTCCAAATGGTTTCACTTTCAATATAAAAACGGAAGTGCTGCTTAGGCCTGGTTTAGAATCTGTCCAAACTGTATGGCTCCTGTTGGAGTCTCGAGTACTTTAAGATCATCAGCTGAAGTCCCATGTGCATATAGGATGGAGATATCGATGTGAAGTCGTTTAGAATGAATCATCAACTTGGCCATCATGGGCCCTCAAGTCCTCTCTTCGACATGGTCCAGCCAGGAGGATCCAAGAGCCCACTGGTCTCCCCTGCGGACATCAAGAACACAGGTAAATTCTTTGAGACAGATGCCAGGCACAGGGGTCCTGAATCCTTCCAGATCCAGTCACGGATACGGACCCGTTCGACAACGGAAAACAGCGGCAGTGCGCCCCTCAATGTTGATAATACCATGGGGATTGACGGGGCTTCCATATCGCTCTCCGGAAGTCTGCCAAACTCTACCGGAGCTTTCAAGAAAGCTCTCGCAAAGTCAAACTCTTTTGACCATCCGATGGAGAAAGCCTCTACAGACACGGTGGTTTCATTCTCGGACGACGAGGGCGTGATTCACAGTAGCTCCTCCCCCTTCGCATCCGAAGAACACTCGAGTACGAAGAACCACAAGCTCCCTGTTACGAGACAGTCATCATTTCACAGGGAGTCTCTTCAGGACAAACGAACCATTCCAGTTCAGGGAATCCGTATACAAAGGACTAAAGATTCCCAGGACAATCTGCTCACGGGAACCGCTATCACTTACCTCTTACTTTGGTATTTCTTCAGTTTTTGCACACTCTTCCTCAATAAGTACATCCTCAGTTCTTTAGGTGGCAACCCAGGAATGTTAGGTGAGTCGATAATCATTCATTTCTGTAGTAAAAATCACACATTTTTTTTTTCTTCAATTTTGCACACGTACATGTTAGAATATATGTCACTTTGAAATATTTTGTTCCTAATTCTGTGCTTGCATGAAAATTTTTTTTTTTTTTAAATTCACTAAATTCGGGATTGAGTATTGAGTCTTTGGTAGTCCCTTCCTTCTTCAGTATATATTCTTGTGGATTATGTTTTTGTTAGTTTCACAAAGAGGGGCTCTACTAAGTCTGTTCTTCCAAACAAAAATGATTCATTCCCTTTCCAAGGAATTAAATTGTAACTTTTGTTCAGGTTGCCTGCTAAAATGACATGCTTTGCCTTCAGGCAATCAACATGTTCAATGTATTCCGTTAAAAAGCATATTTCAAGGGTTCCGTGACACTAAGACGTAACTCCATATTTTGTCAAAATGAGTATTTGATATCAAAATGTTCAGAAAAATGTGGGCTTTCTAGGAAACACAAAGACTGAACTCCACCCAACACCCCATTGAAGTCAATGGCTAGTGAAACATAGACAATGCCCTAGTGCTCAGTGACACATACTGTAAACCACTTTTTCTCAAAATGGAGTTACGTCTTTGTGTCACTGACCCATCGATTTATCATGCATTTATTTTCTGATATTTCTGGTAGGTTCGGTACAGATGATGATGACGACAGTTTGTGGCTTCATCAAGATGCACGTCCCTTGCTGTCTCTACCGACATAAACCCAGAGATGAGAAGCCACACAACTTCAAGAGAAATATGGTTCTACTAGGAATAATGAGGTGACGTACAACAAACTACACCGCCATTTGGTTGGCAGAAAGGCTTATTTATGTTGCACCCTTTGGTCTAATCCGGTGGCGTTATAGTTGGTCAATGGCACCCGGGCAACCGCTAATTTCGAGCCCTGAATTTTAACAAGACTGGACCAAATTTCTTGTCATTTTGGTGATTCCAGAACCTTGCAGATATACACACCAATACTTATCAACCTTTTCTTTCCAGTTCCAGTTTTATCTTTAAAAGATGGTATAACAGTATTCAGCAGTAAACATCTTTGAAGCAAGTTACCAGAAATTTGCTTTATGTGTGCATGCTACATTATCTTCATCTACATTGATTCTTGGTAGACCGTTTGTTTATTATTGTTCTCATTGTTTTTGATATATATATTTTTGTTTAGGTTAATCAATTTGAACTTCAAAAACAAAACTCGTAAAAAAGAATATAAAAAAACCATGCAAGGCACCGAAAAACAAACTAAAACAAATCTTGTGCATTAAGTTTTGACTGACAGGTGAATGTGCCTGCAAAGTATATCGAGGGCCAATTGTCCTTTGCTCCTGTTTATTGCCATTCATTTCATCTTCGAAAATCATCATTTGTCATTCTCAGGTTTGCTACTGTAGTCTTAGGCCTGGTCTCGCTGAAGCATATAGCAGTGTCTTTCACCGAGACAATAAAGAGCTCCGCCCCCTTCTTCACCGTCGTCTTGGCCAGTTGCGTTCTTCGCGAGAGGACGGGAATGTGGGTCAAGATGTCTCTCATTCCCGTCGTCGGGGGCCTGGCGTTGACGAGCTGCTACGAGCTTAGCTTCACCATGGTCGGTTTCACTGCTGCCATAGCAACCAATCTTGTAGACTGGTGAGTGCAAATATTTGTTCAAAGAAGTGTTCCGTGTATGTTTGGTGATATTCTCAGAATTAATTTGTGATTAGGCCCGAGTCAGCATGGCTTGATGACACCGAATCCCGACCGTCGCGATCGGGTCCCGGTTTCATTTTTTGGAAACCGACGCTCCGACAAAGATAATGAAATATATAAGAAATTGCAGTATTGCACACCACAAAAATTCATATAATGTAATGCAGACTTTGGGTTTGCGCCTCACGTATTTTGGACTTGTGCCTCACAGCCATGTTCTATATGACTGAAGGGGATTGTGTCTGCGTTTTGCAATGCGGGCTGTAATAATATTAATAATGATAATACTCAGCTTTTATATAGTACAAATTACAACTAAATCTCTAAGCTCTTCCAAAATTGAAGATTATTACCCCGGGCTTTTGCTGTGCTGCCATTACGGCGCTCTAGCATTTCAAGGAATTAATTCCTGCCAGGTACCAAATTACGTTACGTGGGTTGAGTGTGGCAAATGTATATCAATTAGTGCTGCGGCGAGACTCGAACCGAAAGATCTTGTGATCGACAGTCTGGCAACGTAACCACTCGACCACGACACCTCTACACCTCAACACCTGTACACTATGTACACTGATAATATGCGCTATTTATAGAGGCAAGTGACAGATTCTGCTAGCTGATATTGGCAAGACCTTCGGGACCTAGTTTATAAAATTCCGCCATGACCCAAGCCTACATTATTAGTGATCATTGATTTTTTTCTCGTTTTCATTAATTTAAAGAGTGAATGCGTTCACCATCTGGTAGACTAGTAATTAAGTGCCGATATAATTTGGTTCATGGAAGTGAATGATGCATGTCAGTCATATTGTCATAACTAATTCATGTTTCATATTCATTTACATGTATTACTTTTTTTAATTTTTGCATGTCTGAATGTACAGTGTATGTATCATTCTTTGTTTGTATCAGGAATTGTTTATAATACATGTATATTTTGAAATCCTTAGGACACGATAAACCTTATTTTGGATTCATGGTAGATGGTTTCATGCCAAAAGATTTGCGTAAGACAATAATTTTTTCCCCTTTTATTTACTCCGTTTTGTAGACAAACTTTAGGAAAATGCACAAAAATGACCTAGAAGTTCCATTGATTTTTTTATGTGCTCCCCTGTGTTTGATTTAACATGTCGGTTAACTTGATCTATAAATAGCTTTATTCCAAGCAAGAAAAAAAGGAAAAAAAGGAAAAAAAGAATAATGAATACATAAAAATAGTACATACACAAATGTACCTGAGGGTCATAACTAGTAATATGGGTCGAGCCTTGCTGTAATGTACAGTGTACATGTATGATTGAAATGATAGGAAATGAATCAGAGTATGTTTCAAAGATACATGTAGATAATTTATCACATATTTACAGTTATTCAAGGAGAATTCCCGTTTTCTAAAACGCATTTTCTCCGGAGGTCCTGTCAGAGTACATTGGACCGATAATTAAATTATTTTTGTTCAGACACTTTAGTACAATGTAAAATACATTATATACACAAAATAGGCATTTTTGTAATGTAATCAAATGTAATGCATAAGTCTTTGTGAAGTGCCTCAACCCTCAATACAAATTATTTCATTCACCTGATAAGAATAATAATAGCATTTCAATAGACAGAATCCGAACTGTATACATTAGTTGTTGCCAGGTTGGACAAACATTGTGGCTTGACCTACCTCGCAATATCCGAGTTTGCATTCTGACTATTGAAATACTATTCTTCTTATCGGGTGAATGAAATAATTTGTATTGATGCACTTCACAAAGACTTATGTATTAAATTTGGTTACATTACAAAAATTGCTTATTGCATACCGGTAATGATGTGCATGAATGTCTTTGCCTTACATGAACTACTGAAGGTTAAATTTCAATTGCGTGTGTGGGTGTATCGGTATTTTTGTTGTACTTCAGTATTATACATGTAGGTGTCCATTCAATTCAATTCAATTCAATTCACTTCAACATTAAAATAGCTGGTTATTTGGCAAACTCAAGCTGATGAAGACAGGCCTTCTGATCACCCAAAATGAATATATCAATGTGGAGCACTACCATAATATGTACATGTAGGTCAAACTCAAAGGTCAAACAATATTTTACAGGACAGGAACCTACCGAAAGTAGGAAGGAACCCCCTCGATGATAAACATCTATTTTTGGACACAAGCATCCTACTGTGTACCAAAGATAATTCTGGGTGAAATACAATTTTAAGCAGCAAGTGTCTTTGTTAAGGGATTCCAGGGGACATTAATCATTTAAAAACTGAAGGAAAAAAAAGAATTGAAGCCAAATGCTGATGGATGTACTTTATCTCATGTGGGATCTATCGCTTTAGTATCGCTTTTCACTTTTGGTATTTTGTTCATTTCAAATATACAAAGGAAAAAAAACATAAAGGTTAAAATATAATAGATGTATCGATACATACATGTAACATAAGAATAACACAAGCAGAGAAGACCTGAAGAACAAGGGGGAATTAAAAACAAAACATGTACAGTACAGTGTACATGTACATTAATGAAAGCATAATTTGGAGACAAGACAGGAAGGCCCGGGCCTTCTGTAAAAGTCTGTCCTCACTGATTGTATTAAAAAACTGTACATTATTGAAAAATTTTAATTAAAAGGGAAAAAAGGAAATGATTTACTTTCACACATATACACTGTACACACTCCCATACACACCAAACACACACTAACTAATGGAAACATTATTAACCTTTTTGTAATTAAACTATTGAAAGCCAGTAGGGCGTTGGTTCATAATAATAACATAGAGTTAATGACATTCTGGCTCGTAACAGACAATGTAATGTACGGTTGTAATTAACGAGGATTATTGGGTGTTATTGGATTGAGGCCTTTTCCCTGTGAATCGATTCATACTACGTTGACTGAAAATGGCTACATTGGCTATAATTAAGGACTTTCAAATTCGTGTTCATCTTGAAATTACTCAAATTAAACCAGATGGCTATTTTATAAAAATTACTTATTGTGGGAATGAAGTGATGATGGATTCTTATGAAGAAATATAAATGATGTATAGTGTTTATTTTGAAGTGTATAACCTAGCCGCTTGTCTTTTGTTTTTATCCCCCTTTATATGTTTTGATATGTATTTTTCATTTTTATATTCCTCATATATATTCAATTTTGCAATTATATTATAATACCAAGGAAAAATAAACGAATGAATGAAAAATCATTGATTCACAAGTTAACTTCATTCTATCAAGGGTATTGCGAGGTTTGTTGATTCACAAGTTAACTTCATTCTATCAAGGGTATTGCGAGGTTTGTTGATTCACAAGTTAACTTCATTCTATCAAGGGTATTGCGAGGTTTGTTGATTCACAAGTTAACTTCATTCTATCAAGGGAATTGCGAGGTTTGTTGATTCACAATTTAACTTCATTGTATCAAGAGTATTGCAAGATTTGTTCAACATGCTTACATGTACATACTTGCTCAATGACTGGTATGTTTACCCCACGTAAGCAATGTGTGCACAAACTGCACTTATGATACTTTTTCATTATATTAAAAAATTGTATGGATACATATTCTTGACCTTTTACAGATATCGTTGACAGTTCCAATCACAGTAATTTGAAATGACTACATTGTAAGACCTTTCTATCAGTATATGCATTCTATATTCAATCATGAGAAAGCGTAGAGCAGTGGTCTTGCAGACCTGCCAACCACTACGATTTAGTCGTATTTCGTATGATTGTTAGAAGCAAATACGACAGTACGATTTTCCTCAATAAAATATGATTAAAAAAATATAAAATTGAAAAATTCAATATTTTTAAAATATTTTTTTATATTTTGTATGGTGTACAGTATGTGTTCCATTTTCAATGGCAAATGCCCATTCTGTCCTGTAAAAAGTATCCTACAAGCTTCTCACATCCGCAATTTGGGGATGTTCATTGGTTCATCGAACACAACCGTTGTGACGAAATCATGCATACAGTGTATTCAACCAATGATCCATTAAAACAATTCTTCCTGTATGTAGGAACTGTAAGAGGCATTGATCTGCGTAACAGTCCGTGTTTATTTTTTAAGAATACAACTTTTGTCAGTAAAATACAACTTTTTGGATTAAAGAATACAGTTTTTGAACTTCAGAGGTTGGCAGGTCTGGTCTCGTAACCGGTAGGTCCCGATGGCAACTTTTCCCCACAATTCCGAACTATACATGTACATGTATGTATCTTATTTTTAATCAGATTTGTGCTCTAATCTACACCAACCTGTTTTTCTCATTTTTTCTGCTTTTTTTAAATCATATAAATATCAGGGTGGACAAAAAAAACCAATTAATTGTGTACATCCATTTAACATCAAGTTATTTTCAAATAATACAATTTTTAGGGTGTGTCTTCCAAATTTTGGTTTTGGTTAAGAAATTCATTATAAGTGTACACAACCTCTAAAAACAAAACAAAAAAAAACTGCACCAAAAGCAACATTGGAACTGACTCCATTTATAATATGAGTTAAATGTATTAACAATTTAATCAAGTAAACTTATTTAATTTTTATTTTGTACATACATTGTACGTGTGTAGTTCTGTTTTTTGAGGATTGAACATGTATGTGAAATTAAATCTCAATTTACGTAGGAATTAAAATTGCATACCATTATGAAGTATTGTTTACAGTGTTCATGTACTTGTAGGGATATTTTCATACGTACACATACATTTGTGCTTTTTAAAGGGAATTGGGACACCTAATTTTTCCCCTACACAAACAGTAGAGTATAATTGTGCGTATGGTTTAATGGTATATTGGTGTGCACACAAATCTATCTGGATCAACCCACTTTCTTTTGTCTCCACGTGGTAGCAGCTGGCCAGGATGTGCAGGTCGCTTTGGTTGATTCATTCACAAATCACGATTACTATTATAGTATTAATGACTGCTTTGAGAGAAATAGTTGTTTTATTACGCTCAAGGGAAGGTTAGAATTGTGCTATTCCCCGAGGCTTGCCGAGGGGAATAGCCCAATTGTAACCTTCCCGAGAGCGTATGAAAACAACTATTTCTCGAATATTAAAGCAGTCATTAATACTTTTATATGCCGAAAAAAAATAGACTAAAAAATAAAAAATAAAAAATCCTTTTTGTTTTGATCGAAGATGAGATTCGAACTCTTGCGTACAAAAGGTGATGTGTCTAAAGTCAGCGCCTCAGACCTCTCGGCCATCGCGCGTTGTTAACATGTACGGCAGTTTTGTACAATATATACATTAAAATGGATTGAAACCGGCTTCGCGTGTGATGAATGCTTCGCAAAAGCTCCATATACGGACTCTTCTTTTACTTTTGCAATGCATATTGGCACGAACTTAGATCAAGATCTATCGGCAGATGTTGTTTTTTTGTTTTTGGAAGTTTATTTTCGTCTTCATGTCAACAATGCAAGATAAAATTGTCGGTAAGATCGATCGAGATTCAATTGTATTGAAATTACCGACCAATCCTTCGCACACATACGGCATCCTCCATCGCTCAAACCATTTTTTAACATGTAAACCTATGGGGTAACCATGGACGCTGACCAACTTTTTTTAATAACCATGGTTATTAAAAATATTGAAATGTTTTATGCATGGTTACCGAGAATTTTACAGGAACAGTTGAAGTTTATGAATGCAATTCGACCAATCAGATGGCTGGATTTCTTAAGTGAGGTATATAAATGGTGTTATTCACCTTCATATGCAGGCCACGAACGAATATGTATTGCGCTGAGTTCACACAGAGTTTTGTTCTGTAATCAATATTCACTTTTCCATGATCTGGAAAAGATACCAGGAACATGTTGTGGATCAAAGTGCCTGTCTAGGGCAGAAAATCAAAAATTGTTGTACTACTGCATAAATAAAACTGACAAGAGTGAAATTTATGTCAGTAGCATGGCAATGTGGGGGGGGGGGGCACGTGGTTCCAAATTGAATGACAAGAACAGGAAAGGAAAGAAAAGGGGAGGGAGGGGGGGAAGGGAGGATGAGAGGGACAATTATAGGACCCCTAAAGTAAGACTGGTGCTACCGACCTTCCAATGCTACATTAAAGATAAAGTTGAGTTCTGGTCATTTAATTCTATGAGAATTCATTTTCTTTTTTTTTACCAGAACTCAAGTTTATCTTTAAAGATGCTGGTTGAAGTCGGATATGGCTCTTGACATTGGCCTCTCATAAGTGCGTAACTTGAGATGTACTTGAAGGCCTATGAAGTGCCTATGTAAAAAATACTGAGCAGTCTTATGAGTTGAACTTGAGATTGATCGAAACCAATGGTATTGGCAGGTCTTCCAATCAATTGCAAGTTTACAGTCTCCTATCTCTTATGTACATAGTTGCGATTGATATCTATCCCAAATAAGATGTGTTTAATATCAACTTTTCATAAGACAGGGCCCACGGAAGTCCCAAAGGCAGTATAATGATCAGGATCATTAATTTTTCAATTTTCTTCCATCTTGCTGTACTGCTCTTCCCTCGTTCCTTCTATCTCTATTCTCCTCTCTATCCGCTTCTCTTTGTATTTCCCTATTGACCTTATCCTTCTGCACTGTATTTCTTTCTGACTACTGTACCTCCACTGTATCGATCTAATCTTTAACCCCCTTTTCAATCTTGTTGAACCTAAAGTAATCCAGAATGTTTCCTTTCTTTTCTTATCACAGTTCTCACTCTGAATCTATCATTTCTCTATCTTGACCCATTTTCACCATATTTATTTCCTAATGTTAATACTGTTTACGAATATTGTAGTGCACTATGTGCAGGCTTCAATGTACTTTGCAATGTTATATCTTTGTACTCACGTGTTCTTTATTCATTCACTTTTCTCTTGTGCACACAAGTACAATGTATATGTGACTCATCAGTTTCTGTGTACAATGACAAAGTAACTCAAAATGTCATTCCGTTTGTTTCCCACTTTTCTTTTGTGTACACCATTATCTTTCTCCCTACCCTCTCTGTCTCTCTTTCTCTTTTTCTTTTTCTTTTCCTTTTCTTTTTCTTTCTCTCTCTATCTTTCTCTCTATCCCCCTCTTCCTCTCTCTTTACCCTTTGCTCTTTTTCTCTATTTCCCCCTCTCTTTTTCTCTCCCCTCTCTCTTCCCCTCTCTCTCTATCTCCTTCCCCTCTCCTTCTTTCCCTCTCTCTCTCTCTATCTCCTTCCCCTCTCCTTCTCCCCTCTCTCTATCTCCTTCCCCTCTCCTTTCCCCCCTCTCTATCTCCTTCCCCTCTCCTTTCCCCCCTCTCTCTCTCTCTCTACCTCCTTCCCCTCTCCTTCTCCCCTCTCTCTCTATCTCCTTCCCCTCTCCTTCCCCCCTCTCTCTCTATCTCCTTCCCCTCTCCTTCTCCCCTCTCTCTCTATCTCCTTCCCCTCTCCTCCCCCCCTCTCTCTCTCTCTGTATCTCCTTCCCCTCTCCTTCTCCCCCTCTCTCTATCTCCTTCCCCTCTCCTCCCCCTCTCTCTCTCTCTCTCTGTATCTCCTTCCCCTCTCCTTCTCCCCTCTCTCTCTCTCTCTATCTCCTTCCCCTCTCCTTCTCCCCCTCTCTCTATCTCCTTCCCCTATCCTTCTCCCCTCTCTCTCTCTCTGTATCTCCTTCCCCTCTCCTTCTCCCCCTCTCTCTCTCTATCTCCTTCCCCTCTTCCTCTCCTCTTTCTCTTTCTCCCCCCTCTCTCTATCTCCTTCCCCTCTCCCTCTCCTTCTCCCCCTCTCTCTCTCTCTATCTCCTTCCCCTCTCCTCTCCCCTCTCCTTCTCCCCCTCTCTATCTCCTTCCCCTCTCCTTCTCCCCCTCTCTCTTTCTCTCTCTCTCTCCTTCCCCTCTCTCCTTCTCCCCCCTCTCTCTCTCTCTATCTCCTTCCCCTCTCCTTCTCCCCCTCTCCTTCTCCCCCTCTCTCTCTCTATCTCCTTCCCCTCTCCCTCTCCTTCTCCCCCCCTCTCTCTCTCTCTCTCTCTCTATCTCCTTCTCCCCCTCTCTCTCTATTCCCTTCCCCTCTTCCTCTCCTCCTTCTCTCTCAATAGCTACCATGAATGCCCTCAATCCATTTTTCTATCCTCCCATGTTTCAAATTTGCCTTTTCAACCTGTTAGTAGACACACATACACAATGTACTTGTAGTCACATACAATTTCCATGTTTAAACTGCCACCACCCTCTCATTTCAATCCAGTAACCATGTTCTTTTTTCTATATTTGCCTGCCACTTTTCTCATCCCTCAGCCTCCAGAACGTCTTTTCAAAGAAGCTCCTAAGTAGTAGCAAGTACAAATACAGGTGAGTAGTCCCATGTATTGTGAACCATTTAACGGCTAAATAGCACACAAGTACCATCCTTTGTTAGGTGAGGAATCTCAGTAACAAGTAAGTGACACTGGTGCAAACAGTCAGCAGTCTCAAGTACTAGCTGTAGAGACAGGTACAAGGTGTTTCAAAAAAATAAAGGTCAATTCCTATCTCCAAATATGAAATGTGGTAGTGGTGGTGGTGGTTGTAGTGGTAGTAGTAGTAGTAGTAGTAGTAGTAGTTGTTATTTATGTTGTTTAGACGTGAAATGGTCAATATTGGTACTCCAAGAGAGCTCTAGAAATTAGGGAAATAATAGAAAAAGGGGCACCACATGAGGAAATCTTACATTTTGTCATAAATGAAGAGAAGATAGGGGATCCTAAGAAAAAATATTTAAATTTAAAGTTATATTGTTGACTGTTCTTGTCGTTTTAATACACTTAACAATATTCATTCTATGTCCAAGTAACATTTTTCATGTACCTGTAGATATGGATGCCATCGCATGTTAAAGCAGATCTAGAGTGATACTCTTTTTTCTTTAACACCATGTAGTCCTAGCATGATTGTATTTGAACAAAAAATACAAAAGGATTGATATACCTGTAAAGTGTTTGCATGTCGCCCATAGATTAATTAAAAGATTCTCATTACAGAATGCTGTTCAGATGAACTAGTCTATATTCAGACTCGATGCTAATAATTTTGATATAAATCAACAAAAAAGTCTTCTGGAAAGTCGGACTAAGTACCCATTCTGATTCAGTATCAATTACTACCTCCCAAAACAAGCAAAAAGAAAACTGCATATCTAATGTAGATGTTTTGGAATTAAAATGTTTATTTTTATATTTTTAAGGGTTCATTTATTTTTTTGTGCTGGTATTGGAGACTATTGATTTTTTGTTTAGCTGATGATGCTGCCTTGATCGGTTCACAAGAGCGAAAAAAGGAGAAGAAATTGTGGGAGAAGAGAGAGATCATAATAACATATTTAAATTCCTTGAATTTATACCTTTTCTCATTCCTCTAGTCATCGGGTTAAAATATGATTCATAAACTTTCATTGATGCCTGGATGACTTTTATTCGTGCTCACACGTGAATGAATAATAAGAATAAACATCAAGCTGATAATTAAGTGTAAAAGGAATGTCTCGCTTTTCTTCCACAGCCCTCCTGAATTACAATTCTACACAAGCACAGCAGCTGTAATACTTCTCATACCATCCTGGTATTTTATATTGGTAAGTAACCACGTATTCAGACTTCCAGAATTCATCATATCAAGGGGTCAGTGACACAAAGACGTAACTCCATTATGGCCATTTTGAGAAAATGTGGTTTATGTGTCACTGAGCACTTGGGCCTTAAGGAGTTAAGTCTATGTTTCACTAGCCATTGACTTCAATGTGGTGTTGAGTGGAGTTAAGTCTTTGTGTTTCCTTGAAAGCCATCATTCTTCTGAACATTTTGATATCAAATACTCATTTTGGCAAAATATGGAGTTACGCCTTTGTGTCACTGAAACCTCGATATAGCCATACGTTTCTAGTTCAACTACAGTGTATATGATCAATAAAGACCCTTTTCCTGGTCAGAACGTTGCATTAAAAAAACCGTCATATAACAAAATGCATGTGTCAGTATTGATTCAAACAAAATCTCAATTAACAATCGGGGTCTCTTTCTAGTTTGAACGTCGTATTGTATGAAAAATCGTATAACTGGGTGGGGCGTATCTTGAGCTTGCACAGATCCAATCTGCCCCTTTTGCGATACAATGATTCTTTATACGAGTTTCATTAAAACTTCCTGCAATCATAACACTTTATTAAACTGATATTGCACTCACTCACAACATTGTAGTGCATACTTACAAAGTTACAGTGTATTGTAAAAAGACATTTTAACATTTTTTTGTTGTAGATAATATAGAACTACTGCGAAGTTACAGATATGATGGTGCCTGTTAACAGGCAGAGAGGCACAAACTCATAAGTTCTTACATACAATTAACAAGTGTATTTTTCTTAGCCCTTATAATTTTGATGTTTTTTGTATTTTTTCTATCATGTGAATTCCACCATGATTTTTTGCATGGTATCTTTCAATCATCAATACAAAGTAATCATCTTTAAAAAAGGAGTCATTTAAAAAATTAAAAAAATTATTATAAAAAATCAAAAAAAAATCATAGTAGACTATACACAAATTATTTATATTTGAAAATTAAAACAATTATTAAAAGAGAAGAAAAAAAAATCAACATACATTTAAATACAAATAAATGTAAAAACGACTAGCAATAATACATTTATTCAGAAAGAGGCACATCAATGCTAGCAATTAATATATGAGATCTGAAACTTGTCTTTTATGCTTCACCTTTTGTGAATGTGTGATTACAGTAGCTTGTCAAGGGAGCGGCAGTCCTGATCAAACGATCTATGGAACAAATATTTGTTCAAGGACACCTTTCGGGATGTTCAATTAAACCTGTGCTTGCTACCAAATATATGTCATACATGAAAATGTAAGCACATATGCTATATGATCGAGTGAAGCACTTAAAAAAAAGTCAATACTAGTGTGATATTACAGTATTAGTATCTTGTATGGTACAGTATTACCAACAGGAGAAACGCCACTTGTTCTATTTTGAGCATATTCTATTGTATGATTCATGGTTTCGTAAGCATTGTTTTTTTTTATTAAATAATAACCGCAAGCTGAATTATTCATGATATATGAGTAATTTGATGTACCAGCAAAAAAAAAGGATTTGTTTAATTTTGCTCAGCATACTATCTTGATGATTATATTTTTGTGTGTATAATTTGTGGAAATATTTATCTTTCTCTCACATTTGCAAGATAAACATTTTAGTTTTCAGTTTAGTTTGGTTTATTGAAACTCAACGACTGTCATGGGGTATGGGAGTGAAATGTATTTAAATTTAAATTGAACAATTCTGTATGCATTGAACAGACAATGTAAAACTTGAATATATTATACACTACAAAAATAACAGTAAACACAAAATAATTATATTTGATATATATTAAAGGTACTATGTCCCATTTGCAGGCCAAAAAAATTAAGTTAAATTCCAACTGCATTTGAAAGATAATACTTATTTAGAACTTCCCTAAAAAGGGAGGGGCTTGAAAATGTCTTCAAGTGGGAAAATAATGACTATTAGTTGTCAAATCGACTTTAGGGCTATAGAGCCCAAAAGTAATAGTCTTGATTTTCAGACAATTGTACCGAATGGTCATACGTTTTATGCTGCGCAAAGATTCAATCAGTTTAATCTTGGCCATCATAAGAAGTGGGTTATTGATGTAGACAAATGCTCATGTACCCTTTACAACTCTTTTCATGTATGTTATTACCAAAGAAGAAAAAGCCAGTCAGTCACTCAATAGTGTCTGACAGTGAAGTCTAGCAAGTAAACGGGTTTCCTTGCATAATATGAATATGAGGACACTGCTAACGTTTAAATTTCACAGATAGGACATACATGACATATTCATAATTCCTACAAAGTTCTACAGAATTTGAGGTTGGCTGCAAAAGGGACATAGTACCTTTAAGTTAAATTGGAATAGTATTAATAAAAATGGTTCTGAAGTTTAGTGTAAAGCACTGAAGGAGTAATGAAGGAGTTTTGCAGTTTAAATGAATATTTAATTTACATTCAAACCTGTCTATATTGACCACCAAACCTGTCTATAGCGACCACCCGAGAGAAACACAAAAAGTAGTCTTTGTAGACAGGTTCCTTTAGTACATGGTTCAACGAGAAACCATTTTCAGGGGAAACAAAAAAATGTGGTCTTTGTAGACAGGTGGTCACTAAAGGAGGTTTGAAGTAGTATTAGATATGGTTGAATATGGTTTTAGATATGAGTTAAAAGGTTTTATTATCCCAACGTTTAAATACAGTAATATAACAACAATAAATGTATGTTAAACAAATATCTCAAATTAATAATAAGGACCAGAAAATAGCATAAAATGTGTATCATGTCTGGTACCTTTAAAGTACAGTATCTTAAAATTTAACAATTTGTGTATATATTAATGAATTCAAGTACACTTAAGCTACATACTGTTCTATGTATCTAACATATACATGTTTGTGTGTTTAGTACAAAGGCTAAACTTGTATAAATAGACATTCCTTATTAAAGATCATAACTGTCTACAGAGTACATTTTTATCGTCTAATAAAAGGCAATATGAATTTCTAATGTGTTTCTTTTTTTGGTAACCTCTTACAGGAAATTCCTTTTAAAGACGGTGCTCCAGACCATGTGCTCGTCATGGCATTGCTGGTCAATGGAATCTTCTTTCACCTTCAGAGTATTACTGCTTACGCCCTCATGGGTAGGATATCGCCAGTCACACACAGGTTAGTACTCTAGAGGGAGACATACACATTAGGGAGACATACACATTTGGATACTTATGGAAAATATTTTAAAAATATGTCTGTGTTTATAATGTATGAGACAATGTACTATGTTTATATTCTAAGAACAATTGTGTTCCTATTTATCATTTTGTATAATTATGAAAATCTGAATAAAGGCAAAAAAGCTTTATAAATACAAAAAACATACAATTTACGGAAAAAGACGGATGGATTTTCTATAATTTTGGTAGTATTGTGGAGGTGTCATTGTCTAGTGGATACTTTGCTGGACTGTGAATCACATGGTTTTGCGGTTCGAGTCCCACTGCGGTACTAACGTCCTTTCGCAAGATATTAATCTACATTTGCCACTCTCCACCCAGGTGTAATTAATGGGTACCCGGTAAGGAGAAATTCCTTGAATGCTTGAGGGCCTTCCCATGGTAGCTAGGCTAAAGCCGGGCTAATGATATAATTGCAGGGCCCTCCTTATGTGCTTGTTCCTATTGCTTTCATTTGTTAACACTATTATTCAATTTGTGGAAATAAATAGAACGTGAAGTTGAACTTCAAATTGAATTTTTGATAACTGATGATAGGCAAGAATTACTGAAATTAATTCCTACCAGATATTCCATTTTCATTCTGAACTTACTGGAATGACTAGTCCCTGCTCAAACTTGCAATTGTACAGTCAAACCTGTCTATAGCGAATGCCCAAGGGAAACACATAAGTGGATTTTGTAGACAGGTTCCTTTAGTACATGTTTTGATGAGAAACCATTTCCAAGGGAAACAAAAAATGTGGTCTTTGTAGACAGGTGGTCACTAAAGCAGGTTTGACTGTACATCTGGTTATGCTTTGAAATCTGAATATGTCGATTGATTGATTTGATCCGTTCACACACAGCGTTGCCAACACGGTGAAGAGAGCCCTCCTCATATGGCTGTCCATCCTGACCTTTGGTAACCCGGTCACCCTGTACAGCGGGATTGGAACCCTGATCGTCGTGTTTGGGGTCCTCCTCTACAACAAGGCCAGGGAGCACGAGCAGCTGACGCGCGAGGTTGCCAGGCGCCAGACGCAGGAGATAGATTTATGACAGGGTGACCAAAAAAAGTAGCAAGTATCATTGTCATAGACGTCACATCATTGATATCATCACAGGCATTGTCATTGATGTAATTATCATATGGTTGTTATTTTCAATTTGTCATTGAGATTGACCTTTCCTTGACCTAAGCCTTCCACATCATCTGGGAGATGTGTGATCAGGGGCTTCTGCTTCATGACCTCCAGCCAGATCTTCCTACCTAGTGATGTTCTGGTCGCTTCTGTAAAGCAGGGCTCCCACTTAATAGCCGAGTTGTATTAGCGAGTTATGGCGAGTTGTGGTGAGTTGCCTCAAAGAGGCACTCGCAATAACTCGCGAATAATTCGGTATGGCTTAGCGTAACTCTTTACAACATTCCTAGACTCTCCTCGAAGTCGCGAACAATTCCAAAATTTTGAACATGTTCAAACAATTTCCTTGATTCGTTGCAATTCGAGGTGAACTCGCCTACACTCGTAATATACACGCATTACTTGTAACAAGCTCACGCTGCACTCTTCATAAGGTGGCGAGTTGCTACGAGTATATTACGAGTGTTAAGCAAGTTCACCTCGAGCTACAACGAATCAGCGAAAATTTTGAACATGTTCAAAATGATTCGTTGTTACTCGAGGTGAATTCGTTGTTACTCGAGGTGAACTCGCTTACACTCGTAATATACCCGCATTACTCGTAACAAGCTTGCACTGCACTCTTGATAAGGTGGCTAGTAACTACAAGTTACGAAGAGTGCAGCGCGAACTTGTTACAAGTAATGCAAGAATATTATGAGTGTAGGCGAGTTCACCTCGAATTACAACAAATCGGGGACCTTTTTTGAACATGTTCAAAATTTTGGAACTGCTCGCAACTTCGAGGAGAGTCTAGGAATGTTGTAAAGAGTTACGCTAAGCCATACCGAATTATTCGCAAGTTACTGCGAGTGCCTCTTTGAGGCAACTCACCACAACTCGCAATAACTTGCTAATACAACTCGGCTAAGTGGGAGCCCTGCTTAAAGAGAAGGTTGAGTTCTGGGAAGAGGTAAAAAATAATATGTGAGCGTTATCATTGTTATTATGCAAGGGTGGAAGAACATCAGATTAAACATGTTCCCTGAAAAGCATGGCTCTTCAAATGCCTTCATATTCTAAATATGACATGAAGCATCGTAAAAATCGGGGGGGGTAGGTTTTTTCGCCATGTGCTCGTGTAGTCCCATATACATCATTCTGTGTACATTGCTTGTAACTTTGCCAAGATTTGGCCAAATTTCTTATCATTTTGATGATTCCAGAACCTTGCAATACACACAAATACTTATATACTAGATGATCAACCTTTTCTGATAGATTCCACACCGTTTCGTTCACAATGCAATCACATGACCAGAACTCAACTTTATCTTTAAGGGATGCTAGACATCTGGTTGCAAATGTCATTGAGATTATCATTGAAATTGCCATTGACAGTGTCTGTTAAATTTGCATTAACAATGATATTGTCTTTGTGATTGACATTTTCTGTGAAATTGACTTTGGGCATTCATACCGTCATTCACATTGTCATTGACATTTTCCAGGTAGGTTTCATACCATACATGTGTACAGTATTTTTTCTATGAGAGAAATTAAAATGACCACTATATACAGGTGGCCTTTACACAGAGGTGGCTGCAATGGCCAGGTTGTCTCTAGAAGGCAAGTGGCCATCAGTACCACGTGATTGGGCACACTCTGTTTTTATTTTCAAGTTGATTATTTTTATCCACCACAAATATCCCAACATTGATGGGCATGGTGGGAAAAACATCCTATGCGTGTGTACTATGGCATTTTAATTCTTAGCATAATTTGATAAGAGCAAAGCTTTTTCCCTTCAGTCTTCTGTATTTTTAAATCATTGGATATGAAAATTAGCCCAGAAAGCGGACTTGAAGATGTGGCTGAAAACTTCAGACATAGCTTGATGAAAATTTTGTTAACAAAGGAGTGTAAAATGACATGGTATTTTGTTTTGAAATAATACACAGTTTGCTATTGCAGAATATCTTTTTTATTTATACACGCGCACAAGCACACGTTTGAGCATTTTTCAAGGGTTGGATGGAGTGATTTAAAAAAAAAAACCATAAACGAAGTTGAGAAATATATATTTGTACTTACAAATTGCCAGATCAGAAAAAATTGTAGTTCATATAGTTCTAGAGGAGGGCTCAAGCCTTCACTTTTAGATTTCCACCCCCGATCGTTAAGATTGAGTTGGAAATAATCAGATCACTTAGTATATCTATAGTGTACTCCGATCAGGAGGCATAGATATTGGATGTTACTTGTCAGATATACTGCCGATGGTTCTTTTTTTATAGATCTTGGGCCGTATTGTCATAAATTCAATTTGGTATGTGGATTTTACTTTGCATTTGGCTTGGTTAAGTTAAATGTCTTATCTCTTATTCAGATCACATGTCGGTGTTCCAATAACGGGTTGTGTCGAATGCACACTTATATAATTATGTGCAACTTACAACAAAGACTTATGAACTCCATTGTCTACCAATAAGGGCCTCCAAAAGAATTGGCTTAAGTCTGTCTGGGAGCTGTCCAGAAACTGAATCCAGAAGTCGGCTAAGTAGTTTATCATTGTATTTTGTTTGTTACAGCGCTTAGAGACTTCAGTGATAAGCGTTTTATAAGCACCGTTTTTATTATTATTATTATTATCTAAGCCAAAAATTGAGTAAACTACTCATGTTTCTGACATACCTTCGAATTGAATACTGGCCCTGGGAAAAATGATGTAAATCAGCCAATCACAAAAATAAAAGGGGCACAGACAAGTGCCATGAACATGTCAGTGCATACTTAATTTAGATCCCAGAGGTCAACAATCTCCTGTCAAAATGGTTGGAAACAGTATCTATGACTATCCCCTTTTTCTTTGATTATGCTTAAAGTCACATTATATAGCTTCCACGTTTTGTTAAGATGGCTTTGTGCAAATATCTGAATTGTTATAATCTGTCTGTATTAAACACTGTCATTTTAATTTCATTTCTGAAATATAGAAAATAATTGATTTAAATTTCCTGAAATCATGTCGAATTACGCATTCCTCAGGTAGTGGTTCCTTTGTACTTAAATTCTATTCTAATGAATACTAGTCCATGGATTATTTCTAGAAATTATGATTCTATATAACAAATTACACCTTTAATAAGGTACCGGTACAAACATTTGTCTAAAAGATTAGAATATATACTGTAGTGTGGTTTATCTCTAGTGATAATATGACCTAGCCAAATCTAGCCTTTTTTCTTTTCTCTTTTTATTTCGTTTTTAAAGAGAGAGAAATGTTCATACTTATTTACAATTTTTACATCACTTTTAAAAATGACATTCTGGCATCTTACATCTTACATATATGGGTGTCTATATTAGCAGCATGGGGATACAATACAAACAGCACACAAATGATCCCTACCAGTAAATTGTGTGTGTGTGGCCAACATTGCTAGGTTCATGTTACTCCAGAATCTAGCCGGGTTTTATGTCAACAAAGCTCTCCTATTTCTCGATCTCTCCCCTACCTGCTGCAAGCCGGGCGCACAAATTTGGGAATCACGCCATCTCTGACTTGCAGCAAGTACGGCCAGATCACATCGGTGGAGATTGTTCAAATTAAGTCAGCCAAATTCTGGACAGGGTGTGAGCATGTACATGAAAGACGTTTTAGAGACATGAGATTAATTACTGCACTTGTTCACACATAACAGTAAACTCAAGAACTGGGCCCCGTTTCATAAAACTTGTTACAATGACTGTTATAAGCTACTGAAATCATGGCATCTCATTGGCTGAGAGCTAATTTGTCATAGAATGTTATCATTTGTTATTGATGACAAGTTTTATGAAGCAGGGTCCAGGTCGTGTGATGGCATTACCGGTATGAGAAAAGTAATCTTGAATTACACGTATGATAATGAACAGAATATGAGAAGTTGTGTATTTAGATTTGTAGTCATCCAAAATGGGTAAGAAATGGTTGGGAAAAAAAATGAAAATCACAGTAAGTTGCAAGGCATTTATATGCACATCTGTATGGATATCTGATTATCTGGGACTACACAAATATATGTGGCATCAAATACTGGTTCAAGTTTTTGAATTATTAGAAATATTACAAATATATCCGGGCATTTCTGGAGCAATCATTTGTGTTACTTTGCTAAAGTGATATTCTTCCATATGGGGATATGAAGGTGGGAAATTTTGTTTCTTTTTTTATTAATACCAGCTTTCAGCTGACTTTAAGCTATAATGTTGTAGTCCCTGCTGTTCTCATGTCGTATACGATTTCTTGTGTTATCGTGTAAAATGGATGATTTTGTCATTTTGTAATTGGCAAAATATACATGCATGTATCTGTCAGTGCCAAGAAGTTACTATTTTGAAATTGATTTTTAATGAAGCTTGATCATTATTCTACAAACAAAGTCCCCCTCACACTTTTTTTCTATCTTCTTTTTTCTTTTACATCATTGTATGATCGAAATTCTTAACCAGTAACTTGGTTTAGTGCTCGTTTAGAATTCTGCTTTTTCTCGGTATCCATAGATAGATGTCTTCTTGTGCTGCATTTGTAGTGTTAAGCTTATGCATGGACCTACTTAGTAGGTCCATAGTTTATGATCCTCTCATCTTGCTTCATCTGTTTTTATGATTATTCAATCCAAACCTTGCCAAGGATATGTTATACAATCATACCTATATCTTTATGTCTTTAATTCATATTCTCTTTATTGTAGAAGTCTAGAAGATATACTGAGCGATGTTGTTCCTATTAAGTAGTGACAAACCTAAATTTAACTCCTAGAGTAATACTGAAATGCAACCTAACCCTAACCCAAAACTGATGACAAAATAAATCCTGAAGCAATTGTCACTGAAACACACACTGCATCACAGATAGCTTTACTCTTTTGCTGTGCCAAACCCTTTTAAAGCAACGTGCCATAAGATTTGCAGCGATCGCTGAATTCCAATTATAAATGTGAAGTTTTTGTTTTTTTTAATTTTTTTTTTTAGTATATTTTGTGTGGTCCAGAGACTCACGACCATTCTGCATTTCCTCTTTTAATTTTTTGTGTGAGCAACATCATAAAGGCTAAGTACAAAATAGTTAAATGATAGCAATAAAGGTGACAAAAAGTGATTATTTCATAATCTCAGACATTATTCAGGGCCCCAGCTATCCTAGAAATAAGGAGAAAACCTGAAAAATTAGTTCTCCCTTTTC